AGAAATACGACAAAGTAAGGATCATATTAGGAGGTAAAAGTAGATCAACAGAGCTCATTAAAGATTTGGCACTTGTTGTCTTTGACTGTAAAATCCATCAGCGACTGACAGGTGAGTGGACAAATGTCACAGACAGGAGGCACTAAACAGCAAGGATTCATCTAAAGCACAAAGAGCTGAGTGAGCCAGTTATCTGCAAATGTTGCAGCAGCCATCTGTAGGCGTGGCTATGTCACGGCGTTTGGTATCAATGCTTTTCGCAGAGGTCAAGGAAAAGCATGCCAACCGATCAAACAACAAGCATGTGGAGAAATGAAGGAAGCACCATGTTTATATGTTAGCCAGCGCTGAACCGTGCAGTGTTGTGCAACTCTGAGGTGAATTTCAAGCTAAATGTGTGCGAGGATCAGAAAATAAACGGTGGTTTTAAGAATGTATCATGCAGTTTAAACCTCCTGATTTCTTTGTTGTTGTTTACTTTCAAGCAGCCCGACTTTCTAGTAATCTTTTTAAAGGAGTCTTAATCGGTTTCTCGTCAGGCTTTCTGACTTTATCATTTTGACTTTAATACCCAACTATGGATTTTGTGCAACATCTGCTTAAAATGTGGAAGGAAACTGGCAAAAACATGTGGTCGATGTCTTTTAGCAAAAGTTACAAAAAATGTTTTAATACAAAAAATAAATTTCGACACACGGGAGGCGACAAACGACCGCGATCAGCAAAATTCGTCGCTGTCGCTTACCTGACACACGGGAGGCGACACGAGGCAGCGGCCAGCGGCAAAGCCGTCTACGCATTCCTTTCCACGGCGAAATCGAATCTTCCGTTGTTTTGTTTGGCTGTGTCAGGTTGGAGGGAATTAAGGTTATTTAAGCGGTTCAGAGTTAATAAAGCGGTAGATATGATGTTTCACAAGGTGCTGCTAGAGTTATGTGAAATCTTACTTCTGATTTTACTATAAAACATAACAATAATCAACTTCTCCTCCATGATTGCTCGGAGATGTACGGAGCATCCTGTCCGCTCATTGGTCAGTGAATGAAACCTCCGTTGATTGGTCCTCGTCCGAGCGACAGTGATGAAAAGTTGAAAATGTTTCAACTTTCTGGGATCGTGTCGCTGGGTCGCCTGTGCACGACACGTGCACAAGCGCAAAATTTTACACGCACGTTTGTCGCGTTTCGCTTAGTAGGAGGGAGACCCGCGATTATCGCTTTGTCGCGCATGTCTCATTGAAAATGAAAGGAGGAGAGGCGATGTCGCCTCCCGTGTGTCGAGCCCATTAGCCTTAAAGGCTAATTTAAAACACTGGTTCTCTCTCATGTGTGAATAATTCATAAGTCAAAGTGAAGGGACTTAATAAACATAAAGGATCTGAACCAAAAACAAGTTAAAAAAAAGCAGCTAACCTGGACAGATATGCAAATATTCCAACAAACATTTCCAAATATTAACAAAGTTTCATTTAGGACCATTTTAAAAAGATTACAATCAAGTCTACCACATTGGATGAAAAAAATCAGAAATGAAGAAAGTCTCAGTGTGTTTGAAAGCAATGGAATAATCATAAATAGTTACTTAATATTTAAAAAAACATCTTTTTATATAATGTGAAAATGACTTTAAGTAATTGTTTGATGTAGCTTTTTCATGGTTGTCCTTTAATTTCGAAGTAAGTTGATTTAATTCATTAATTTCAATTGAGATGTCTCTAAAGTCGCTATTTTAAAATCACAATTGAACTAAATTACCGTGTTGAAGATCTAGTGTCACTGAGAAGAGAAAGAATGAGGATGAAATTTAATGTCAAGAAAAAATTAAAATACATCTTTAGGAAAAATAGTTAACAATGTCAAATATGTGGTTCTGGGTTTGTTTTTTCTACACAAACAATAAAAATTTGGCATTTTATTGATTACAAGCTGTGATCTTAACAGGTTTCTTAATAATACAAGTCTCAAACATAGCTGATTGGATCTAAAACTTACTATAATGATCTGAATTTTACCATGGAAAAGTCATTATAAACTATTTCTAAAAGCTTCAGATGCAAGTGGGTACATTTGAGACTCTTATTGTGAAGGATTAAAGGTAGTTTTAACTGTGCTCAGGACTGTGCTTCGTTTCCCAGAAAATTCCCTACTTTTTACTTCTTACATTTTTCCTTGACATTTCGACTTTCCCCTCCACACTTCCTTTTTACAATTTTCTTTTCTCAGTTGCCCTTACATACTTTAGCAAATGATGACACCTGACTGCCATAATTAGCTCTCTATTGTCCATTTACAGGTGATCAGTGAGTAATTACACGTTTGAGACAATTGAGAGGAGAAAATGGGTGGCATGTGCAACTGCTGTTGACATTTTTCCTTCTTTGTGTATCTGAGTGCGATCATCTGTGTTGTCGTGCTGTGAGGTGGTTTTAAAGGTTGAGCTTTCCAGAGTGAATCCTTAGTAGAGAATTTTCTGGAAGCCCACTGACCTCCCAAAAGATCCATATTGGCGGCACCAGTGGAAGTGGCAGCTGCTGTGCTAGTGGGAGGAGCTAGAGAGACTCCGGGTTCTGTCGCTGCAGGAGTGGGCGTTGCTGCTGCAGAGGAGGGGGCGGGCTCTACGGTGAGTGGGGGTTCAGATAGCAAGGAATCGCCCATTTCTACCAAACAGGGCGTTAGAAGTCCCAGAGTAAAGGCAGCAAAATAAACCACAAGGGGAGCAACCAAAATAACCAGACGAGTCACAAAAGTGACGGGGAAGAAGAAGAAGAGCCAAAACAATATTCCAGTCAAATCAAAACCAATGAAGATCATTTCAAATTGGTTGAGGAAAAAAATTAAATAAAATCGCAAAAAGATCCAGCACCACCCGGTCAAAACCAATAAAATAATAAAGAAAAGCAACCAAGAAAGCCCCCGTCATAAACAAAATCAGACAATGGAGTCATGTGGAGGGAGGGAGGAGAGAAGGAAGAGAGAAACAAAGAGAAATCTCAGACTATAGAGAACAGCTCGAGGAGACAAACTGGGATGCAACCATGTGATTTTAACTCTAATACTACTGGGTCCAAGTCACTTTATCATAGTTAAGCTACACATCAAGGTGGGATTATTTAGTTTTATTGCAAAATAACAAAGGAGCCGCTTACCTGATCCGAGAAGATCTGCGGACACAAAAAGATTAGGAATCAGAGGAAATAGAAACAAACTTTTCAAAATAAACCATCAAAATATTTATTTAACTCAATTGAGGAGATTAACTAGTTTAATAAATTAAATAAATTACTTGTTTTCATTTCCTGTTATTTAGGCTGAACAGTGGAAGCAGATCGAAACTGAAGGATCCACTTACCTCCCCAAGATGTCGGGGCAGCAGATGTTGCAGCAGGACCAGTAGAGGCGAGAGGATCCAGATCCAACAGAGAACTAGGCAAAGACAACACCGGAGTCATGATGCTTAGTTTTGTGCTGTTTGTTTAAGCTATAATCGAAGTTTGATTTAAACTCAGATTTCATTATCATATCAATATTTTTGCCTATTGATGCAAAATTAAAAACAAAATCACAAAAAAGAAAACTATGAAAGGAGTATATAAATGAGCAGGTACTCTTCAGCTGGTTCAGGGGCAGCAGCGGCACTCTCCCCAGGAGGAGGCTGCAGTGTGGGAACAGCGTTTGAAGATTTGGCAGGAGTTGACGTTGGAGACACGTTGTTTGTTGGAGATCCCTGGAAAAAAAAAAGACTTTTTGAGTTGATGCTTCAAAAGAAAAAGCTCCTCAAACAAATAAAAACATTTTCTCACCTTCGTTGGAGACCTGAAAGTGAAAAGGGGAGACGAAACAATCAGAAATGTGCTGAAAACAAGCTCCTCTGTTGACACAATCTCAGATAGATGGGTCATTTCTCTCAGGAGACAAAAACAAATACCTAATATCGATTACATCATATGTGATCATATGAAGTGTTGATTTCCAAAGTAACACATCATGGTGAATGCATGAAAATGTACCAGCAAAACAGCTGTTTTGCTTTAAAAAGTCCGACTTAACTTTAGAACAAACACTTCATAAACTGATTCACATTTTCTGTGACACACATATGACTTATGACCTATCAAAACATGTGTCTCTCTTAAAAATTACACATGTAATCACAGCATCAGTATACGCATTTCCAGATGTAAATCAAGACAGTCTTCAGTTATTTTCAAAAATTTCTAAGTAGTCAAAACTTAATTTTTTACTATTTTGGCAAATAAATAAAATAAACAAAAAGAAAACATCTGAGGTAAATTTTTCTAAATCTGACTTTTTGGCTTAATGTTTATCAAACTTTATGCAAATCATCTGGTGTCTCTTAACCCTCCATTGTCTTTTTGGGTAACCCAGCGAGGAAAGGTGACCATTGAACAGGATTGGTGGTTCATCCCTTGAGGTCCACGTGGCAGGGGTGAGGTGGTGCTCACTCCTCACCCCTGCCACGTGGACCCAAGGGATAAACCACCAACCCTGCTCATTGGTCAACTTTCCTCATGGGGTGACACCCATAAGGACAGTGGGAGGGTTAAAGCCTTTCAGCCAGGTTTCAAAATAAAAGCATGCATCATGTGTGTAATAAACACTGGCATAATTCACATGTGAATAATGTTTCAGGTGGATAAAAGTGAATGTGCCTATTATTTATTTAAACAGTTCAAACTTGACACAAACATACAACATGTGCTCACCCTTCTCTGGTGTTTCCATATCAACACAAAGAGCAATAAAGGAGAGGGGAGGTTAAAGAAAATAATAAAATTATATCTTCATTTTGCCATGTATTAAGTCAAGCGTAAACAAGTGGTTGTAATTAATAAGTAAAAAAAAATGCAATAGCAGCCTATGTCATTGATGTTAAAGACAGAAAGACAGCTTAGAGTGAGAACAAGTAAACTATCCAACAGAGGGAGTTTCTCAGATTCTTCTTTTTGTAGAGCAAATCTGCTCTGACGTCATTATAAAAATTATCTTTACATTATTTTTACAGATCATACAAGGGCAACAAAAAATACTGTTAATTGAAACCAACTTTAAAGATGTAAAATGTTGCTTTAAGTACAATAACTTCATATGAATGAAAAAAAAAGAATGAAACTTGCCTAAAAGAGGGGAAATTCATTAAAAATTTTAAAGTCTCAGCTTTAATTTTGGTTATTAATCCTTTTAAATTTAACCAGTTTTCTCACCCCTTCTTTCCACCTTTTACGTCTTCCAGACCATTCATGTGTGTTTCCAGAGACTCCAGGATGCTGCTGGGAGCCTGCAACAAATCATAACCAGAGTCAAAATATTTTTTTAAATGTAACTTTCCCATCTACCAAAAATACTTTTTCTTTGTATGCATGGTTCTCACTAGAGGTTGTTGCAGCATGAGCATTTTAGAGTTGAACACTCAAGTTCAGCAGACGCAAGCCATTTCTCAGTACTCTCGAATGTTCTTGTGTACTTGACAAGTATATTCTTGACAAGTAAAGCAGAAAGTCCGTTCTAGGGAGTTTGGGAGGATGAGGATGGGGTTTGAAACAGAACCGTACCCGGTTTGGTCACGGTAAAAAGTGCTGCTTGTTGCATTTATGGCTAAAGAAATGATGCAATATCAAAATAAAAGTCTAGTTGGGTCCTTAAATAATAAAATAAAAATGAAAACATATTATTTTTATAATATTTGGTCCACGTTTGATCAAAATTAAATAGAAGCAATTACCTGCTGTTAAATAAAGAAAAAAATTATTTTTCATCAAAACAGAACTATTTAAGGCAACGCTGCTTTTATTTTGGAAGTGGGTTCGCTAATTAGCATTTTGAGGGATTGTAAAGAATCTGAAAAAAACAACAGCAAATTTTACAACTTTATATTTTTTATACAAAACACTACAGTTATGAGCTTTCTCTTCAGCCGCTTTGACTATAACAATTTGCAACACGATGCATTCTGGGATACTTTGCTGTCTCAAGTCCGCAGAAAGACGCATTGATGCATACTTGATATAATGGGCGGAACTTTGAGCGAACTTGCCATGATACATACTTAAGAATGGAAGAGTACCTGGGCTAGTTTTGATGATGTTTCGCAAGGATGTAAGTACACAAGTTCAGACGAGTATGCATACTGAGAAACGGCTGCAGAGCTTAGACCATTTGTATTGTTATTGGTCAAGTGTTCTAATACTCAGTTTGTAAGAAACGCTACATTCTGGAGTGTTTTTGATCAATGCATCTTGTTTTCACCCGCAGAAAACGACGAAAATGTTGCTCCACAGCAAGACTCACATGCATGTTTAAGCACACAAAAACACACTTAGTAAGTAAAGTAAAATCTGAGTCAACATGCCAACACTTCATCCTGTAGTTAAACAGTCACTCAGCCAGGGCACCCTTTGTTTCTGTGGTTACCGGGTCCTCAAGGGGCTTAAAAGGACAGTCTTCATCATCTGAGTCAGCTAGATCCATCACTACCCCCGGGTGGAGACACTGAGCAGGAACATGATGATGGGTGAGACATAATGCTTCTCACTGTGTGTGTGCGCGTGTGTGTGCGTGTGTGTGTGTGTGTGTGTGTGTGTGTGTGTGTGTGTGTGTGTGTGTGTGTGTGTGTGTGTGTGTGTGTGTGTGTGTGTGTGCGTGTGCATGTGCGTGTGTGTGTGTGTGTGCATGTGCGTGTGTGTGTGTGTGTTCTTGTACTTACTACCTACTGAGGACCATCATGGGGTTTTAACCAACAGAGTGAGGTCGTTTTTGCAAAGTGAGGACATTGTTGTGGACCTCAGTTTTTGTTTAAAGCGTACCAGTTGGTTTTAGCCATATGTATGAGTTAAGTTTTTTCTTTGACATTGAATGTGCTACTACTAGTTCACCTGTTGAATAAATTCTAGATTCACTAGGATAAATACAATGGTTTATCTCTCACTAAGTAAAATTTTTACTAAGTAATCACAATGTAACCATAGAAATGGTAGGAAAATATGTTGTGTGTGTGTGTGTGTGTGTGTGTGTGTGTGTGTGTGTGTGTGTGTGTGTGTGTGTGTGTGTGTGTCTGTGTCTGAATGTGTGTGTGTGTGTGCACGCGCACGTGCGTGCATACGCATGTGTTCTTGTACTTCTTACCTACTGAGGACCATCATGAGGTTTTAACCAACAGAGTGAGGTCATTTTTTCTAAGTGAGGACATTTTTGTGGACCTCACTTTTTTTTAAAAAGCGTACTAGTTGGTTTTAGCGGTATGGTATGAATTAAGTTTTTTTCTTTGACAATGAATGTGCTACTACTTGTTTACCTGTTGAATAAATTCTAGATTCACTAGGATAAATACAATAAAGTTTATATCTTTCTAAATAGAAAATTTACTAAGAAATCACAATGTAACCATAGAAATGGTAGGAATATATGTTGTGTGCGTGTGTGTGTGTGTGTGCGTGCGCGTGTGTGTGTGTGCATTGCGGGGACATTTTCTATTGTTTAACCTGCAACGTAGGTACATTTGACATTGTGGGGACATTTGACTGGTCCCCACAGAGAAAAAGCCTAAATACTTGGTTTTGGAGGTATGATGTACCACACACATACCACACACACACGTGTGGAGCAGGAATTAGAATTCTTACACCTTGTCCTTCCATAAAAAACAACACAACTTAAAATGAAATGTAACTCACGTAGTTGATGTCAGGAATGTCATTTTTGTCAACTCCAACTGTCTGTTAAAATAAAACCACAGAAAGATGTAAGAGCTTAGAACACCACAGTCATGGCGGCTTTACACAGAAGGTCAGCCTACCTCAGCTAGCTTCATGAATTCACCGATTTTCGTCACCCTGGTCAGAAACCTCTTGTAAATCTCCAAGGCCTCCTTACAGTCACTTTTTTTCATCTTGAAGAATTTTTCTGTGCACACAAAACAACTTTAGCTCAATCATAAATGAACTCAGGAGTGTTTTTAGTCAGTTTTTTTAGCATGAACTCCTCACCTAACAGATTGATGATTCCATCATTGTAGGAAGCAAACAGTTTGACCAGATCTTTGAAGAGAAGCAAGAAGGCAGCATTGATGATCCCGTTGTTCAGCTCCTTGGGATGAACCTGAACGGATGAAGGACAGTGAAAAGTGGTCCTGATTGTCAATCAGAAAACTTTTGAAGTAAATTTTTGTAAATCACAAAAAAGACATACATCAAACTCCAGGAGGGTGTCGATCTGAGTCTGCAGAACGGGCATGCCTTTCAGCAGCTTCTCAGTGGCCAATGTTCTCATCACTCCCTCGGCGCTGAGAAGATAAGAGATGTTTAACTAAACGCACAACATTAAAGAGATTAAAAACTACCTTTAAGCATGAGTTGACTACCATATGACACAAGATTTAGAGGACTGACTGTGTAATGGAAAACATGAATTTTACGTTAACATACCCTTTCTTGACTCTGGTGAAGTCAAAAGCCATCTGGCGGTAGGCAAAGGCTTTCTCGTTCAGGTACCTTGCATACCGCCTGATGAATGTAGACATGTCATAGCCTAAAATGACACAGATCAAAGGAAAAAAGCAGGGAAAAGCTGGTTTTTGTATGCATTTTCATTGTTTTTTATATCAAGATGAAAGCTACACATTATCAGCAGAAGAAACGATTTTTGTATTACGCCTATCAAGATAAAAAACACAAGAACTATATCAAAAACAATAAAACCATAGCTTGGATCAGATTTGTTGCTCCTCCACATCGAGAGGAGCCAGTTGAGGTGACTCAGGCATCTAGTTAAGATGCCTCCTGGATCCCTCCCTAGTGAGATTATCTGAGCATGTCCAACCGGGAGGAGACCCAAAGGATGACTCAGGACATGACAGAGGGACTACGTTTCTCAGCTGGCCAGGCAATGCTTTGGGATTCCCTCGGAGGTGCTGGCTCAAGTGGCTGGGGAGAGGGAAGTCTGGGTCCCCCTGCTTAGACTGCTGCCCCCGTGACCCGACTCTCGATAAGTGGCCAAAAAATGGATAGATGGATGAAAAATATCTCATATAGTATTGAAAAACAAGCTAACAGGCCATCTCAAAAAGATTAGAGACAGTCTTGCAGTTGGGGCAGACCAATATTTAAAATATCTGTTTGTGGAAATTTGCTAGTTTTTGTCTTTTTCAGATGTTTTTGTGTGTTATTCATTTTTTCTATGCATGAATTCATGATATACGTGGAACATTCTTACCATGAGAGCCGGTTTTGTCAATGAAATTGCTGAGGTTAAACAGGGAGGTCCTGGACGCCAGGTACTGAATGAACCTCTGAAAATTAAACAAAAAACACAATTAACTGTTAGGCTGACTTTTAAGATGATAATTAGAATTGTTTAAACTCACAAATGCCACAGAAGTCATTTTTTAAAACATGTTTTCTCACCTCTATACAGCTGTACTCTAACAGAATGTGTGTACGTGTACATAATCTATTAAAATATCTACATAAAAAATAAACTCAAATGAAAAATTTTTGTTCTGCCAAATGGCCTTGAATTAATTTTACATTCGGACCACTATTGTGTGTAAACTATTTCACAATTTTAACACTTTTTATGACTAATTTAACTTAAGTGTTTGCCATTTCTTTTTACACTATTAAAATACCAGCAGGTATTACCAGGGAATTTTCCTCCACATGTGATCCACCCTCTCACCTCATTGCCGTGGACACATATGTGATGAGTGGTGGTGAGAGCCTTGAAGACGACCACCCAGCTGGCGTTGGTGGATCGTTCAAACAGTGTGTCAGCCATCTGAGGGATGTTTACATTGGTGGTGTTGGTGGCTGACACCAAGTCTGCAACACAGATGCAACAATCCAGGCATTAAAAAAAGGAGCTCAGTTTTAGTTAATCTTAAATATATGTCCTAGTAATTTGCCCTTTGACTTGAGGTTTTAATGAAACATTGATGGAGTGAGAAGTGCTGACTGCAGATCTGGTCTAGACACCCGGGAGACTCTCAATCCTGTAGGAAGACTGAAGAAATATTTGTGCAGAAAGCCACCCACCCACCCACACACCTTCACACACATGCAAAAAAAACTGCTCCTCATGCTTTATCATCACTTAGCATGCTTGCTCAGTGTGAGGATTGCTGTAAAGACACTGACACTAGTCAGTAACTTGATGTAATTTGCTGGGTTCCTTATGTAGGAAACTTTTTACTGATTGGCTTAATGAACTGAACTGTACTGGAATATTTACTGTGTGAAGTTCCTTGAGACGATTCTTGTCGTAATTTGGCGCTATATAAATGAACTTCAATTAAATTGAATTGAATAGGGTTCTACCCCCAAAGGCGCTTCACAACAGAGTCATTCACCCATTCACACATCGGTGATGATGAGCTACAATGTAGCCACAACTGTCCAAGGGTGCACTGACAAAAGCAAGGCTGCTGAGCACAGGTGCCACCAGTCCCTTTGACCACCACCAGCATGCAAGATGGGTTAAGTGTCTTGCCCAAGGACACAACAACAGCAATAACTGTTGGGAGCTGGGTTCGATCCTTCAACCCTCTGATTACTAGACAATCCACTTTACATTCTGAGCTACGGCTGCCCACAATAAATACATAAGCAAAAAAATTACTACAAATACAGCCATGCTTGGGAAAAAACTTAATGATAATTAGATTGCCATTATTTTTATGCGAATAATAATGCTTTATTTTTTCTTTTTAAAATTAGTATTTGCAATATTTTATTGTCTATTGGTCCAAAGTTGCAACAAAAGTCATAAATGTCTTGCTGTAGATATTAAAGGATTAAACACAACACAAATATTTTACCATGTTTTCATAAATTGTTTTTTACGTTTTAACATTTTCACACAAAAATGTGCTGTGAATAGTTTGTAAGGTGACGTTTGAAGTTATGAAGAAATAGGCCATGTTTTTAAAAGTTCTGATTTAAGTCATGCTAGCTTAAAAGTTTTTACGTTTACATTAGAAACTGTCATGTATTCTCTCTAATATGCCATGTTTCTCCAAACTACAATTTAAGAATTAACCAAAATCTCTCACTTGACATATTTTTACATTGCTGACACCGCATCATTGCATTACAGAGTGGGAGCTAACACGTAATTGTGTTTTCTAGAAAAGTAAAAGGCTGATATGTTATTTAAACACTATTTTTTCAAAGTGGAGTCTGTTTTTCCTGATAGTAGTTCTCACACAGTTTAAGGCATTTCTGAAATCTAAGCACTTAACATTTAATGTATGTGTTTTTCATTCACCCAACCACTCATACATCATTCATTATACACGACCTCAACTCTGTGCATGATTCAGCTTAAATAATGCTGCATATTTTGTATATTTCCACAGTTTAAGAGATATTTAAAGCTGAATCATTCACTGATTGTGCTATGCCCAAGGACACTTTATCATGTGATAAAGCTGCATATTAAACCTCTGATCATTTAACTGAAAGACCACTACACCATTTAGCTGTTGGTGATCACAAAGAGACACACATTTAGGTATGACTTTATAGAACACAATTCAAACTGTTTTTAATGGAAAAGGATGTAACCTTATGACATAATTTGATTCCACAAATTTGTGTCAATGATTAAATTTTTTTTAACCAAACACAAACTTTGTGTTTTGCAGACAGATGGACACACATGACTACAGAAACAGACCTTACAATAAAGATTAAGTGTGACGGGATTATAGGAAACCAAGGAAGGACCTCTCAATATTCACCAAATTACCATTTTTAAACAAAGCTAATTTTATGTCTGTAAATTATGTTATTATTATTTTAGTCAAATCTTGAATACAGTGTGAAGAACTGAATAATGTGTGTCTTTAAACTTGTAAAAATTTAGCTCCAAATTGACAAAATAGCAACTGTAGGTGCCTATCCAAGTTATTTAGAGTGCCCAGTGGTTCAAGAGAACTGACAAATCAAAAACATGTTCCATCTTGGACCTTTTGACATTGTGCTGACATCAGAGTCTAAATAAGAGAACAGGAGTGAGTGCACAGCCGTTATTGGCAGCTATACTGCTGTCAGATTCAGATGAAGGCCTTGGGCATAGCTAAAACTGATTCATTATAAATTATCCCCAACCCAAAAAGCAGCAGGATGATGAGTGAAGGACGGCAGAAACAAAGGAAACAAGCTGAATAGATAAATAAGGAATACAATTTGGAGCTGAGGCTGTGTTTAAGTTGAAAACACGGCAGCAGGTTGGATGAGGATTGGCCGGGGGTGGGGGTGTGTGTGTGTGTGTGTGGGGGGGGGGGGGGGGGGGTTATACATGTAAACAGATTAATACTTATCACTGAGCCCACCCTCATCACAGCAACACATAAACATGTCAGACGTCCTGTTTCACACCCCGACAGGCTCAAGGCCTCCTTAAGATTTTTTGCTGCAGGGATGCTCGACAGTTGTGATAACTTTAAATTAATGTGATAACACAACCTGAAGAGATTAAAACTAATGTATATATTGTTTAATATGTTGATTAAAATCAATGCAAAGGTCTTATTAGATTGTTTCCCCTGATTTCTGTGTTGCAAATTAGACTCTGAACAGTTGGATCAGATTACAACAGCCATGCTGTCACTGTACTAATTAATGCAGGACGGACCATTGGCTCTTTAGTTTTACTGTGTGAGCCTGTGTGTAGCACCTGATTCATGCTGTCATAATGTGCATTTTCAATTATTATTACTCATTTTTAATCGTTTGCTTTTTGACATTTTATCTGCAATCCTCTGCAGCACATAATACTTATGCTCAGATGTGGCCTGCAATGATAAAATACTGTCATATAACATTATCACAGTGACAAGCTGATATTTCTACCCTCACTGTGCACACAGCAGCTCCTTTCAGTTCTTAATGAATGTTAATTTATCCATTAACAGGTTTTACACTTGTTTCCAGATGGACACTGTCATAGATAATAATCCACGCTTTCTGTTGTGGTATCATCACTGGAGACAAGGGTGTGTGTGTGTGTGTGTGTGTGTGTGTGTGTGTGTGTGTGTGTGTGTGTGTGTGTGTGTGTGTGTGTGTGTGTGTGTGTGTGTGTGTGTGTGTGTGTGTGTGTGTGTGTGTGTGTGTGTGAACAAGCAAAATGAGGATTGGCAGAGCTAAATAAAGACTCTTACGGTAATCCACAGGCTGCAGAAAGCTTCTAAGAATGAACTGTGAGACCTCACGCTGTGCGAGTGTGTGTTTTTCTGAGCTGAGACTGAGTGTGGTAATTATGTTGTATGTTACACAACGGGTCACTCTAGGTATAGCAAGAAAATAAACACAGCCATCTGTTAATCATGTATATAAAATCATGCAAGAAGAGCTTTGTGAATTGTTTCACACTAGTAGAAATGTACTTGTCATAGAAAGTACTCATATTTTAGATACTGAAATAAACGTGCTCATCCAGTCTATGTGCTAGATATTTTTGAGGTTCCTTAAAGTCACAGTGTGTGATATTTCTATTCTTTTACTATCAATTACTGAGTATCACATTCACAAACATCTCCTTTGTCATTAAAAATTCTCACCAGTCTATTCTAAATACTCCTATTAGTTTAAAATGTAACATTTTTATGTATATAATATGTGGTTGACGCTAAATAGTCATGCACCTTTTTGAAAATCAATGGCTGTCTAGGGACATGCAACAATTGACGCTCCACATTTCACGTTTGTGCTTTGACATGTACGTTCTCCACCTCCCTTTACATGTTGTGCTGGGATGGCGCTGGTTCTCTTCGTGGCAGCCTTGCTGGTTTGGCGAAATTCCTGTGAGAGATGCTGACTGTAGGAAGCAGCAGAAACAATAAATAAAAGGTGTAGACTGTTGAATGCTGGTGTGTGGTGTTTTATGTGTATGACCCCTGAAGTAGCCGTCAGTGCTTCAGTGTCTCCCTCTCCCCCGCAGCTGTGCGAGCACTGCTACATTAACACATTTCCTTCTTTATGCATGTGGGCCACCGTAGTTGCAATACCTTCTGTGAACTGTGTGGTGCTAGGGAGTCAAATTATTTTTTTTTTTTTATAAATTGTTGCTTTCAACTAAAGGCCGCTTTATACTTCTCTGTCAGCTCCGCAAGTGAGAGATGCACATGCACAGATGAAGACATTTTGCCTTCGGACTTCTCCATCACCTGGGAAGTGTTTCAAAGCAATTCCTTGACAGGACAACTGTCCACCTCTTCATGTGTTCACCACCTCTAAACCCGTGTTTCCCGTCATTTCTGTCCACGTATGAAACACTGGAATAAAACGCTAACTGAGCTTGTGGTCTGTCACTTTCGAAGGATAGTTACAAACTTTGGCAAGTGATAGTCACCCTGTCGGCGAGCCCTTACGCCAAAGCATAAATATGTATAAATCAGCCTCAACGTATGTCACAAATTCAGTCAATAAACCAGATCTTAAAAATCATCCTATGCAACAAAAATACATCTCAATAAACAGATGTATGAATCAAGGTCCTGATGTCAGGTACTCATGTTACCAAATCTAAAACGGAAGTAAGGCTTTAAAGATCTTTATTTACCATTTTAGAAAATTACCCAGGAAATGAAAAATGCTGATTTCAGTCTAGATCTGTGAAAACTAGAACTACGCTCTGTGATCAGAAATTTGGTCAGCTTCAGATAACTGTGTCAGGTTTTTTAAACACCAAAATATTTAACAGAATTTTTTTATCATAACAACTAATGATTTATACAGGAAAATCATGTAGATTAACAAGGCTGCCTAAACATTTCCACCCCACTATATATACATATATATATATATATATATATATATATATATATATATATATATACATATATATATATATATATGTATATATATATATATATATATATACATATATATATATATATATATATGTATATATATATATATATATATATGTATATATATATATATATATATATATACATATATATATATATATATATATATAGAGAGAGAGAGAGAGAGAGAGAGAGAGAGAGAGAGAGAGAGAGAGAGAGAGAGAGGGGGGGGGGAGAGAGGGAGGGAGGGAGGGAGGGAGGGAGGGAGGGATGGATGGATGGATGGATGGATGGATGGATGGATGGATGGATGGATGGATGGATGGATGGATAGATAGATAGATAGATAGATAGATAGATAGATAGATAGATAGATAGATAGATAGATAGATAGATAGATAATAAATGACATCCAGGCTTGAGGCTTATAAGAAAAAGATAAAATGCTTTCCTCCAAAGCTTTGCACTCAAATTCAACTTCAATATTTTTTCCTTATCATTAAATCATTAATATGAAATAATTTAGATTCAAATACCCTCAAAACATTTGTTTATGGTCTTATTTATCTAAGTATGGGCAACAGTAGCTCAGGAGGTAGAGCAGGTTGTCCAGTAATTGGAAGGTTGCAGGTTCGATCCCGGCTCCGACCTTTGTCCTTGGGCAAGACACTTAACCCGCCGTGCCTGCTGGTGGTGGTCGGAGGGACCGGTGGCACCAGTGCTCGGCAGCCTCGCCTCTGTCAGTGTGCCCCAGGGCAGCTGTAGCTACATCGTAGCTCATCCCCACTAGCGTGTGAATGATTGATTTTGTTGTGAAGCGCCTTGGGGGGGTTGTAGATCCCTAAGAAGGTGCTATACAAATACAGGCCATTAACCAGGCCATCTAGTTCACAGATAAACGGTTTGCTCTTCTAAAAAATAGATATAGCATTAATAATATGTACATCAGTACTAAGATAAATACTTATATGTAATTGTATCTCTAATTAGATGATTGCCATTCGCCCTCCTTCTTCTCACACATCCCCTCTATCAATAGAATGGCTGACATTCTCAATCTATTTCCACGGCAACGGCACGACATAACTCTCATCCACCCAAAGGGTCAACATGTACACTTCAAAGCATTAAGCCATTTGCTTTTACACAGCACTGCACATAAACTCGTGTTGGAAGTAGCTGTGAATTGTTTTGTTTCTCTTTAAGTGATCTACTTTTGGGTTTATTTGGGTTGTTTCTTTGCAATTTATTTTTGTAATCATGTTGTTTGTAAGTGTCTCTGTGTTTGCTAGCAAAATACCACAGCCAATCAATATTAGCAAATGCAAAAATGGCTATAAATCAGCCAAATGTACATATACTGGGGAAATACGTTGTTCTAGTAGCTGAGAGTGATCCATATCACACGCTCTGACGTGAGTTGTTTAAAATGTTGCCATTAACACTTGGAGTCAGACTTGTTTATTTGAGATTAAAATATTTTATTAACCACCGGGCAAAATCAGTAAAACAATAGGAAACAACTCCATCTTTTCCCAACATAAGATGATCTTAGTTCAAATCTCTTCAAGCACCGCGAGACTTTTAACTCATCCTGTTTCCTCTGTTTCCTGTAAAACCTACTCGTGTGCGTTTTGAGGCAAGACCTTCCTCCCAGACAAAACTAGAGAAGCACAGTGGCCCAGATTCAAGCAGCCTGTCAAAGTAGTCCTAAAATAGATGCAGCATTAACTCACTGATCTGTCTTTCCCACTCAGGGGAGACATTTCTACAACTCAGCACAAGATACCATCACCAGAAATGGTTTCATATGCATGAGCAGATTTAAATGATCTGCACGTCTGTATGTGAGCTGTTCAAAGCTACAGACAGATAAAACTAACAAAGAGGCAGAATTACAAATGAGGAAGTGAACGTCTCTGGCGGAGTCTAGCTTTAGCCTGATCACCGTTGGCTGTGTAAATAATGCAGGGTGGATTTTTTAATTATTCAGCAGGAGAGTGGATCACAAGTAGCAGGATCCAGACATGTCCAGTCACAAGAGCAGGAAGAATCATCTGTACTCAGCGCCACACCAGAGCTCAAGCTTTGACTCAGTATTTGTGACAGAGACTGATCACGATTAATCACAAGGTGCATCCTGCTGTCACCTCTGGAGGTGTCGATAAAGCTGTGGCTTTATGCACACGTCTTGAAAAACTGGATTCAGACACTGATTCATGAGAGGGAAGTCGCCTTTGCAAAAACTTCTTTGCGAGTTTGGTGAGAAAAGCTCAAATGACAGCAAAGGATCTTAAATTTGAACTAATCAAGTCTATCTTAAAAATATGACCTCCCCATCACTTTGTCCCTTTCTCCTCCTCCCTGGGTTTCCCCTCATCCTCACTGGGGGTCACTGAAGGGATCATCACCATGGCTACACCATTTTTTCCCGTGGCACCACACCCCATTAGGAGAAAGGATTCAACAGACATGAGGCCTGGTGTGACGTGGCTTGCGCGTGAGCTCCACTCTGGTCATGATGACTCTTATTGACAACAGAGGGAATAAATAAAAGCAGCACTTACATTCCAGGTGCTTTTTCTTGGGCGCCATCACTTCATGAGTGGTGGCTTTGCAGACAGCCCGGGCCATGTCCGATCCCGTTAGCTGGTACTGCGCAGCGGCAATGCGATCCGTGAGCGTCTGCCCCGACATTTTCTCTCCGGGAAATCAGTCTGCTCCCAAATATTTCACCAGTGGGGAAAATTAAAAAGAAACGGGAATAAAAACGAGTTAGCTTCCCGTCTGATCCAGGAAGATGGGGGTCCTTAACTCCTCGCGACTGACAGGCCTTTGACCTTCTGTGTGCAAGAAAAAAATATTTTAGTCATAATAAATTACATTTAAGCGTAAAATTACAACATGGGGTTTATAATGTTTGATTTGGCATTAGTAGACTTACGCAAGGTTGAGAATTCCCCTCAGCTTGTCTCGTTTTAGGCTTCGGCCGTTCAGTTCAGCACCTTGGACAGATACAGCCTCTATTACGTAACACTCAGCGGGCAAGGAAATAAATTCTGTCACCCTGCAGTAATTATTACAAAATACCCAGGCCTTCGCAAGCGACGCTTCTTTAATCGACAAAAAAATGCTATTTTTCGTAAAATTGCAGGAATTTGTATCAGCACCCCGCGCGTCGCAACATCAGCTTTGACTGCATGTCCTCCCGCGTCGCTGCATCAGGATAAAAGAGCGTTCATATTAAGGGGAGAACCGCGCAGTCTTCCGTTCTCCCTTCTTGCTCTGAAAAGCCTCCTCCTCCTCCTCGCTGCTGCGATCGTCTCCTCACAGCACGAAAAAAAGGAGAAGGAAAATGCGCATCGCTCCCGGTGGGGGGCGCTAAAACGCTGTGCAGCCTGAGAGGCGCCCAAACAGGAAATGCAAAGTGGAAGTTCCGTGTGGATCAAAACTAAAGTACCCCTCCCAGTTCACATCACTGAAGATATGATATTTGGAATTATATTCAATAATAAAGATAAAGAACTCTGCTATCATCCTCTGTTTAGCCAAATGTTTTATCCGTAAACAACGAATTTTACAATCATCCCGTCTTCAATGTTTTTAAATAGAATTTCAGTTATATTTAAAATCCCTGAAACACCTCAACAAATATAGCGAAAATCTAGATAACACGTTAGCTGAACTTCCAAAGTGATTTCCTAATTCTATATGATAAATGCTGTACCCTCATTGAAAGCTGTACTCTACTTGTTCTTTATGGTATTTTGCCTCTTGTTGTTGTCTTTTTAATGGATATTTACAAATGTTATAGCAAGTTAACTGCTCCTTTTGAATTTAGGTTTTGGACTTAACATTGCCAAAGTGCCATGTTTGTTTGTAAATTTACTAAATAAAAAAATGTGGAAGTTCCTTTTCCTCTTTCATCGTCCACTATTCGACCAATCTGTGTTTCCATCTAGATTTGGGGTTAGGTACAGTTAAATGGTGCCATGGCCGATTTAAAGAGCTGGGCAGGGCTGATTTGGACTCCCGTTTAAATGCACTTTTGTTCGTCGTTCAGCTTATATCGTCAGTTTTGCGGTAGCCTGGCCAGCCATGCCATGCTTCCTTATGTGTAGGACAGACAGTGGGCAAGTCTGGCAGACCATGCTACTTTGTAGGAGAAAGGCATTTATCAGTAGGTTGTTGATGGACATTATGCACTTTCTAAGCTCCTTGTGCTCGGATTTTTACATAAATGCATATTTCGGACATTTCTAAAAGAGTACGAGAAAGAAAATTTACATAGTGAAGAAAATCACAAGTTATTGGCCCTCATCTTAAAAGGTCTAGCATTATGATTTAAATGCTACATAAAACGTCATTGTCCCTCCACTTGTCCAATTTCTCTATTTTGTCATTGTCGTGTAGTTACAAATTGACTACTTGTGAAAAATAAGTTAAAGCTTATAAGATATCTAATGACATTTTTGAGCAATTATCAGAGAGCCAGAAACCTGTTTGCCAAGATCATTTAAAAAGTATGAAATAAAGTCAGGATCCTTGAATGGGTGGTGCAATGTGCAAAACCAAATCAATCGCTAAAGCTTGAAACGTGAACGATTTCTGCTGTGATTTTACATCTGCTGATATATATATGTCTGGGGATCGAATCCTGCCCGGGCCCTCGATTATCCACCTTGCCACATATATATATATATATATATATATATATATATATATATATATATATATATATATATATATATATATATATATATATATATATATTGTACAAAATAAAAAAATACAGTGCATATCTTACTAATCAACAAGATATGAATAAGTATAGGCGGTTAAGAACAAAGCAGCCATCGAGCAAAGAACAACAGATAAGAAAAGTTTAGATCAGAAATAACATAAAGTAGCAAGTACATTAAATTACCTTCCATATAAAGCAACAGAAGAAAAAGAAAAGAAAGAAAACAAAGTCGAAACAAAAGTATGCACATAAAGTCTAGCTACATCAGTTGAAAAGCAGCATCAAAAATTCAAGTAAGATGTGAGCTTTATTTAATTTACACTTATCTAATGAAGCCTCCAATAGAAGGACTTCATTTTTAAAACCAGCAAAAATCGGAGTTGTTTGTGTTTCCGGAGGCAGGATTTCCCTGACCAATATGGCGGCCAACAACAGCGAGGGCGGGATTGTGGGATTTCCGTCTGAACTATGAACTGTGGCCACGTCGTCGCGAGAAGGCGGAACTAGACGGAACAGGAAGCTTTCTGTTGTTTCACTGAAGGTCCAAAAACTACAAACAGTAAGTAAATTTAAACAAAACGAGTCACTTTGTTTTGGTTTTCAAACGTTCTTTAGGTTTTAGCGTCTTTTTCACGTTTGTAGCCGTTTGTTCACGCCATGAGTTAATAATGAGAAGAGCCAAGTCAGCAAAGTGGAACCCTAACCACCTGCATTGGTTGTGTCTACAGATTGGCTGTGGACTTTGTCCTTTCTTTAGAGACACTTTCTGTTTTTATGCTTTTTATTTTCATTCTAATTTGTCAGCACCTTCTTTAAATCCTAAACTCTGACTGTCGGGAAGCTTGTTTTCAAATTACTTAAACCTTAAGTTCCTTTTAGCTGTGCTTATTTACAATTTATTACTCACAGGTCCTGTTTCTTCAACACATCCTCAAAGTTTTTGCCTTGTTTTCTACAACCTGAATCATGGAAATAATTAAAGCTTAAAGGGGCATTATGGAAGTGTGACAGCCAAAACATGTATAGAAATAATAAATGTCTTCTTCATACGTTCTCCTGCAACGCCCTGGTCCTGTAGAATGAGCCCTGGCATTTTTACTGTGATTGTCTGTTTTTCTGTAAAATCACAGAAAAAGAGAGATGCTCGGGTCGAGCAGGCTGCTTCATGCGCGTTCACGCTCAGGCATCGCCCGTAGCATTTGCTATCCGTAGCTTTAGCAGCAGAGAGAGAGGCAGTGCCACTTTGTCGCTGTTCCTAACGCCTAGTGACAAAGCTAGCTACATTTCTGAGGACCCTTAGCTACTTTCTGTAGAACTTTCTTCTAGATATTTCCTGCTAATTAGCAACAAAATAGCCATTTTCACTCCGAACCGCTCTTTGAACGTTGTTTCGGCTGTCATCAAGGATATAAACGTTAAAGATCCGAAAGATGTCACTGGCGCTTTAGCTCACCTTGTAAGACGTCAGACTCTCGTGCAGAAGACCTGGGTTTGATTCTGGGTGTGAACATAGTTCATTTAGAGTTTCTTTTTTACATTAATGGTATATTCTTTTACAGTAAGATGCCCAAATTTTTATTTGAGACTCGCCGAACGGCATTGAATTCACAGATAAAAAAGATGTGGGTTCAACTTTCATTTTGGAACAATTTTTCAAGCAAGGGAAGGGAATGATCTGAGCATGCAGGAGGACTGACCCATCATAAACCTTTGTCGGCTGTGCTGAAGAGAAAGGTACAGAACCACATTATTTAATTAATTAGCTGCGTGTTCTCCTGTCCTCTGTCCTCCGGGTCACACACACACACACACACGGGACTGTCTCAGCTGTTATTTTCGTTAAAGAGTGTGCACGTACAGCATGCGCGCCTCGTGCACAAGCCTACTATTGAAGCTGCCGTTACGCTTTTGGCCTGAGGGGGCGATCACGAGCATAAAAATTCAAAACTCCGTAAAGTCCCTTTAAATGTGCAGATATAAAGAGATTTTAACCGATATATCAGGTATGTAATAAGCACGTAGCTTGTATTTAAAGTTTCAGCAGACTGGTTTGTAAGCTATATTTAGATAAAAATAAATAAAATCAAATGGTCTATGTTATCTACATGCTGTATTTAAAGTGTTTGATCTAGAGACAAAAACCTTTTCTGGGTTTGATTTTTATTATTAAAGAAATAAAATAAACGTCACCTTAAACAGATCCTGTTAGGACTTTGGGATTTACAGCATCTCAGTGATTTTTCTTTATATTACTCATTAACATTCTAAAAGATGTGAAAACAGCTTCAACGTTTCTCTGTTGTGTTTTTCAGTGACAGACGGTTTTAAAGAGGTATTGGAGAAGTCCAGTCTGCACCCTAAGCCTGCAGGACTGGTTTTGCAGTATGGCACAGCCGGCTTTAGGACCAACGCCAAACAGCTGGACCACATTATGTTCAGGATGGGTTTGTTGGCCACGCTGCGCTCCAGGAAGACCAAAGCTACCATCGGGGTCATGGTGACCGCATCCCACAATCCTGAGGTCGGCCAAGAGTTCCAAACACCTAAACGGCGTTTTGTCTCTCGTGTTAAACATCTCTCTTTGTTTTTCTGCTCGCTCCTGGCTGGTAGGAGGATAATGGTGTGAAACTCATTGACCCGATGGGGGAGATGCTAACGGCAACGTGGGAGGATTTTGCCACGCAGCTGGCCAACACCGAGCAGAAGGAGCTGCTCGCGGCTCTCAAGGACATCATCAACAAGGAGGCTATAAACATGAAGCTGGAGGCTGAAGTGTTTGTGGGGAAAGACACCAGGTTTATACAACTTTAAAACCAAAAATAACAACAACCGTTGGGTTAAACCTCATCGCTCCTTCTGGGAATGTTCTGTCTGACAGGAGCAGCAGTGCCAGTCTTTCACAAGCAGTGTTGGATGGAGTTCACGCGCTTGGTGGCCAAAGCAAAGGTAGTGTTAGTTTGAACACGTATATTGGTGTCATGGAGGTGATGAGGATCAGCACCTCCGAATCTGAGACCATGGTTCTCGACCGGAAAAGGGTGGCTTGCCAACTCTCGGAGGAGAGGTCCTACCTCGAGTGGAGGAGTTTAAGTATCTCGGGGTCTTGTTCACGAGTGAGGGTAGGAGGGATCGGGAGATCGACAGGCGGATTGGTTCGGCGTCTGCAGTGATGCGGACGCTGAGCCGATCTGTCGTGGTGAAGAGGGAGCTGAGCCAGAAAGCCAGGCTCTCGATTTACCGGTTGATCTACGTCCCAATCCTCACCTATGGTCATGAGCTTTGGGTAATGACCGAAAGAACGAGATCGCGGATACAAGCGGCCGAAATGAGTTTCCTCCGTAGGGTGGCCGGGCTCAGCCTTAGATATAGGGTGAGGAGCTCGGACATTCGGGAGGGACTCGGAGTAGAACCGCTGCTCCTCCGGATCGAAAGGAGCCAGTTGAGGTGGTTTGGGCATCTGGTCAGGATGCCTCCTGGACGTCTCCCTGGGGAGGTGTTTCGGGCATGTCCTGCCGGCAGGAGGCCCCCGGGTCGACCCAGGACACGTTGGAGAGGTTACATCTCCAATCTGGTCCGGGAACGCCTTGGGGTCCTGCCGGAGGAGCTGGTGGAGGTGGCCGGGGAGAGGACGGTCTGGAGCTCCCTAGTTGGGATGCTGCCCCCGCGACCCGGACCCGGATAAGCGGAGGAAGACGACAATGTTGGTGTCTTTGCTGCTTCTAACTGTTTCTGTTGTTGTTGCTCGGTGCTGTCAGACTACGGTTTGGTCACCACCCCCCAGCTCCACTACATGGTTTGCTGTCAGAACTCGCACGGCCAGTATGGAGAAGCCACGGTGGAAGGATACTGCAGCAAACTCAGCCAAGCTTTTCTCGCACTCTCTAAAAATGTAGGAAACCATCGTTCTTGTGATGTTCTTTCGTCTTATTCCCATCGTGTTTGCTGATGGGAACGATTCCCTCTTTTCCTCGTCTTCCCGACAGGCGTCCAACCGCACAGACGACCAGAAGCATCTCTTTGTCGACGGAGCTAACGGCATTGGGGCTCCAAAGCTGCGTGAGGTGGAGAGTCACTTGAAAAAGCAGTTGCAGATTTCCATCTTCAACGACGGCAGCCGAGGGAAGTTAAATCACCAGTGTGGAGCCGACTTTGTCAAAGTGCAGCAAAAACCTCCAACAGGTGTGGCTCCAGGTGCCAACCGTTAGCTTTAAAAGACAAGAACAGGAAGTGCATTTCCGCAGCTTTGAATCAAATTTCGTTTTTGATCAACAGTTAGTTACACGCAAATTCCTGATTTCATTTCTCTCTATTTCTTTAATCCTTAATGATCAGCTTTGAATTTTGTGTTTAAATCAGAGTTTTCCGTCTGTGACGCTAAGGTGAGGTGCTTAGCGGACCACTCCTGTCTCACTTTTCCTGTCGTCCTCACAAAGGCGTTGAGATCAGCCCTGGAGATCGTTGCTGTTCCTTCGACGGCGACGCTGACAGGATAGTTTATTACTACACCGACTCTCGGGGATTCTTCCACCTGCTGGACGGAGACAAAATAGCTACTCTCATCAGTACTTTTCTTAAAGAGCTGCTTGTCCAGGTAGGATCTCAAACGCCAACCTGGTAAAGATCAAACAGACCCTCGTTAACCAATCTCTTTCCAGGCTGGACTAGACCTGAATATCGCTGTGGTGCAAACAGCTTACGCAAACGGTAGCTCGACGCGCTACCTGGAGGACACGATGAAGGTGAGGCGACACGCAGACTGCGTTGCTGTTGTCTCTGTTGCTATAAAGAAGTCAGTTTTTTTATAAATCGTCATCTGATCTAGGTAATCGTGAGGTGCACAAAGACGGGGGTGAAGCATCTTCATCACGCTGCTCAGGAGTTTGATATTGGTGTGTACTTCGAGGCAAACGGCCACGGGACTGTAAGTAGGGCCACGCATTATATGTAAAAGTAATAATGTGACTATAACAATTGTGGATGGCCCTCAGATTAATCAGACGCAAACTACATGCTACATGCTACATGCTAAATGATGCATATTTGGCTAGGAGTGTGTTTTATACTGAAGCTGTAAACATCGCGATACAGCAGAGACGATACGATACGTTGTGTTACTCAAAGCCGAGTGATTTTTGCTCTTTTAGATTGAATTAAAATGAAAAGAAAGAAAACGGTCTTTTCTATGGCGCCTCTCAAGATGAAAATCGCGAAGCGCTTCGCAAAAACCAAAAATTTTAAAAATAAAAAAGATTATTTTGTTTAAAATGACAACAAATAAAAGATTGTGATTAAAAAATGTAAGGACGGGGAGAGAGAAAACGAGTAGAAAAGAGGGAAATCTGTGGATCCCAGGAAAGGCAGAGTAAGACCAGATAAAGGAGAAGGTGGTGATGAAGGTCACACCAAAGCCAGCTTGAACAGCTGCTTTTTAAAGGAGACCACTGAGTCCACTGATCTCAGGCTCAGGGGGAGAGAGGTCCAGAGTCTGGGGGCCACAGCAGCAGATGATCTGTCACCTTTGACCTTTAGCCTGGTGCTGCACAACCAGTAGGCTTTGATCACTGGACCTCAGGGACCTGCTGGGGGTGTAGGGACTAAGAAGATCACCAATGTAAGATGGTGCTTGTCCATGTAAGGCCCTATAGACCAGAACCAGGATCTTGAAATGAACCCTGAAGTTGACTGGCAGCCAGTGAAGCTGGAGGAGAAGCGGGGTGATGTGGGTGTACTTTGGCCAACTCAGGCCAGACGTTTCTAAGACACAACCTTTTGCATAGACACGCCCCCTCGCGGGCCCTTCACTCAGCTGGCAGGGAGCTGCTGATCGTTCCACGCACTAAGTGCAGGTCACGGGGGCACCGTGCGTTCTCGGTGTTGGCACCTGCACTTTGGAATCAGTTGCCTTTGGTGGTGCGTCAGTCACCCTCACTGGGGTTTTTTAAGACTCGCCTTAAGACCCGTTTTTTTGTCGAGGCATTTCAGGATTAGCAAATTTTACCCGGTTTCGACGCCCGGCCTCTTAATCTTTTTCAGGATTTAATTTTTTTGCTTTTACTCTCCTCTTTTAATTGATTTTATGTTGGTTTTACGATTGTTATATTTTATTCTGATGGTTTTATGTTTTTATTGTGTTGTGTTCAGCACCTTGGGCGTCGTCATTGGTCGCAGAAGAGTCTTTATAAATAAATGAAATGAAATGAAAATGAATCCAGTGTCATTGCGAGATCTCACTGTTCTGTCAGAGTGAAGGCGGTAAAAACTACTGCCACGTAGCAGTAGGGTTGCAGGGATTGACCGGTTCTGTAAAGATGTCTTCAACACCACCTATAAAAAAGAAAAAGACAACAGAGGTTAAAGTCTCCTGTGTGGGAGTATATCTAAAACATTCCCACACAGGAGACTTCAACTTTAACCGTTCCTTAGGTGGAAACGAAGAAGTCCTGATGGTTGTCACTGGTTCTGCTTCTGCTGCGAGCAACGTGTTCGGTTTAACTTTTGTTTTTGTCTGTGCGGGTCTCGCTACGGTCTTTTATAGGCGGCGCTGGAGACGTCTTTACGGGGGCTTATCCGGGATCAGTAGTCGAACCGGTTAACCCCTGCAACCCTACCTAGCAGTCGGTTATGTTGTGTATTGTTTTAATGTATTTTAATCCTGTGAAGCACTTTGGTCAGCTCTGTACTGCTGTAAGGTTGGCTTGGCATCACTCGCAAAAACACGGTGAATATTTTCATATAAATTCTCAGAAATAAAACAACACCGCTTTTAAATATCAATTCAGTATCGTAACAGGAAATAAAACAATATTTCAGTGTATCGATATTTTCATACATCTCTTTATTTGACCATCAAATAGACGCACGTAAACACCTACATGCGTGTTTTGAGCTTAATTTAGGTTTCAAAAAATTGAACAACAGCAGCAAAATTTCACATTTTCTTAATACTGCACAGCTCCAGAGTAGATGCAGGCCTGGCTAATACATCAGCTGAAATGTGCAAATTAGTAATAATCCATGATCTGCATATCTGGCTGATTTATTAAGCAGGAAAAAGAAGCTAGCTGAGAATACTCTTTTTTTTTTCATTTGTTTTTAGTGTTTCACCTTGTCTAAGTTTGGTCAGACATAATTTTTTTTTAAGTGGAAACCAAAACAACAAAACTGAACCTAAAGGCGACGCACCGCTGACGTTGTGGTTGTGTTTTCTCAGGTGCTGTTCAGTAAAACGGCTGAGGAAAAAGTCCAGCTTCTAGCCAAGAGCACCAACATTAATGATGAGAGGAAGAGAGCGGCTCTCCTGCTGCAGAACACCGTGAACGTCATCAACCAGGTGCACACGACCCTACTGAAGGGATGGTCCTGTAATGCGCCACAGCTGGAGCCTTTTTTTATGTTAAAGAAAGCAAATCGTCAACAATAACGTGAATATTTCCCTTTTTGGGCTTAAAGACTGTAGGTGATGCGATATCCGACATGCTGCTGATTGAAGCCATTTTAGCCATTAAAGGGATGACCGTTCAGCAGTGGGACGCCATCTACAGCGACCTGCCCAACAGGCAGCTTAAAGTCACGGTACACGAGCGCCACAGCTCAGCTTCTGCCTTTTTCCATCCTCGGTTCAACCATTTACAATTTTGTGATGCGTAATTTTCCGCTAAGGTGTCTGATCGCAGAGTGATCGAGACGACAGACGCAGAGAGGCGGGCGGTGAGCCCTGCAGGTCTGCAGGAGGCCATCGACGGTTTGGTGAAGAAATACAAACAGGCTCGCTCCTTCGTGAGACCCTCCGGGACCGAGGATGTGGTCCGAGTTTATGCAGAGGCCGACTCTCAGGTAGTGGAACCATTACTGGCTCTTAATTTTAAAATGTGCAGAACTTCAGTGGATTGTTGCGGAGTTATTCTCCATGTGGATGTTTCAGGAGAGCGCTGACGCTTTGGCTCACGAAGTCAGCCTGGCTGTGCATCGCCTCGCTGGAGGAGTAGGAGCTGAACCCAAACCGTTGCACTAGAAGAACAAACACCGTTCAGTCAAAGTTCTCCTCTCGAAACTTTGAACGCAACTCCAGTGGATCGCGTGGTACTTTAAAGCCTTTTTTTTGTTTGTTTTTGCAGAGAGGTGCAAATACTTTCTGTTGTTTATATTGATCTGATTGTCTTTGTGCAGCTGTGATTTTCTGGTTTAAAACACGGGGGAGTAAAGATGAAGTAAATATGTGCCATCTAACTTAACATGATTAACCCAGAGAGGTCTGAACAGTTTTCTAATCTTTCTCCTTGGGGAGTTTTTTCTGAAATAAACCTTTTTGAACCAATCTTTGTTTTTCTTTGCTTTTTAGTCGTAGCAGCTCTAAAAACTGAAATCATGCTAATAAAATGAGCAGATAGCAAAGGTGAAGCCATAGCTTCCTGCTAATGTCCTCGAACGTGTCATCCATCTGTTCGTGTCTACTGCAACTCCCCTGTATTCTGCCCTGGACCAGTCCTCCCCACACCGACTTCAGCTGGTCCAAAATGCAGCGGCCCGATCACATAACCCCGGTTCTGGCCCCTCTCCATTGGCTTCCTGTCTCTTACAGGATCCATTTAAAAATTTTACTTTTGGTTTTTAAATCCCTTCATGGCCTGGCCCCAGTTTACATCTCAGAGCTGCTGTCCGCTTACGTCCCTGCCAGAACCATGAGGTCCAGCTCTCAAGCCCTTTTAACAGTTCCAAAAACCCGCCACAAGACTCGCGGCGACAGAGCGTTCTCAGGTGGTAGAGCGGGTTGCCTCATGATCGGAGGGTCATGGGTGCGATTCCAGCTCCCGCCAGGGGTATCCTGCTGCTGTGTCCTTGGGCAAGACACTTCACCCAACTTGCCTGTTAGTGGTGGTCAGAGGGGCCGACGGCGCCAAATGGCAGCCTCGCCTCTGTCAGACCTCCCCAGGGCGGCTGTGGCTACAAGTAGCTCACCATCACTAGCTGTGTGTGAATGTGAGTGTGTGAAAGCGTCTTTGGGTGTCTAGAAAAGCGCTATATAAGTTCAATGTATTATTATTATTATTATTATCTGTGGTTGGGCCCAAACTGTGGAACAAGCTACCTCTCAACATCAGGACCACACAGAATCTAGAGCATTTTAAATCCCTTAAGACGCATTTTTTTGATTTGGCTTTTAATGCAGGCTAACTTGAGCATCTTAACAGTTTTTATTACAGATTGTGACTGTTGCGTGCTCATCTTATTTCAGGTTTTTATTGTTGATCTGTTGTACCTCGTACAGCGCTTTGGGTGTAGCTTTGCTGCTGTAAACGCGCTCAATAATAAATAAAATTGACCTTGACCTTTATTGTTTATAAAGTAAAACTGGTGAAGCTTAACTTAAAGGAAGACAACCAGTTTAGCTCGCTGTTTATTTTCTGACAGGTGGTTATAAGCAGCTTGTTGTAATGAGACACATGAAGCCAGCTGATGTTCCTCTTGCTGCTGTTAAAGCCGTGAAGGTGTCTGGGTTTTTGATGGAAGCAACTTTAAAAGCTTGGAAACAGGAGAGATCACACAGGAGGTTGTTCACTCCTCATCTGAGTCCTCAGCTGCCCCTCTAATCGTGATGGTGCACAGCTGGCTGTCGCTCACAAAGCTGGCCTCGTCGATCTTATCGGTTCTGGGAGGCAAAAGAAAACGGGAGAGCAGGATTAGGAGAGATTCGTCTTCTCTTTTTAGCTGTTTTAGTGATTTTTTTTTACTTGTTCTGGGTTGAAGATTGCTTGATCTCTGATGTCTCAGTCGCCTCCCGGTTAGCGCCGGTCTTCCTGACTGAAGAGACCACCTCCACTCCATTGAGATTTGTCCAAGCCTGAGCTCTTTCTGTGTCCCTGGAGTCTCCATCGGGCTTTGAAGACCCAGCAGAAGCTGAGATTGAAGCTCTAGCCAGAGAGGTGCTTGTTCCTATTAACTCACAGGACATGAGGGACAGGTGACCAACCGTGGTGCCCAGACGACCGTCTTATGCCTCAGTCAGCTTTCTAAAGCGTAAACAAAACTCACATTAACACGTCTCACAGTGGTGATCCTTATTTTGGATGTATCGTAAAGAGTTCTTCACCTGCAGGTGGTGATCTCCAGCTCCGTGGCCATCTTGGTGTTCAGAAGGTCCTGATATTCCCGCATCAGCGGAGCAGTCTTCTGCTTGGACAGCTTTAGATCCTGTTCAGCTGCTTTAATGTTCTGATGCAACAAAACAGGATCAACGGGTAAATGTCAGACATTGGGAGAGTGATGTGTGGATGTTCGTGGTGTTGGTGTCGGGTTTCCTGCTGATCGGCCTTGGAGGCTGCCTGGCTTACTGGAAAATTAACGAGCTGTCGAGGAATATTGGCCTGATCCCGGAGCTCAGAGATGGTTTACACCGCGCTGTGAACTCACAGACTCAAATAATTGTCGAGATGAGTTGTAAGCTTGGAACTTCAGGCGGAGATTCATTATTGGCACAAAGATGGATGCCATCAAGGAGAGAGTGGACGAATCAGCACGGATTGGGATAGTTTAATGTCCATTATTGGGATTTTGAGAGGTTGAGGACCAACAAACTGTAAGACAAAGGAAATTATCTCTGTCTGGCCCCAAAACAATTTCTAATCGGAATCTGGCGTCCTTGAGCCTGCAAGGCTGCAACGAAAACTCCCCCCTCAGAAGATGGAATGTGCTGTCGCTATGGCAACTCAACTCTGTCTCCTATCCCAGCCTGGGCGGGACTGCGGGAAGGCCGCTGAAGCGTCCAGGGTCACTGCAACCCTCCAACCCTCAATGCTCCTCCCCCTATCCACACTGAGGTAACATGTGCTGCTTCGTGGCTGCAGGAACTGAAGTGGGGATAGTCCCAACCCACCACCCCACCTAGTGGACACTTATGTTGTGTAATGTCTGAAGTCTGTTGCATTTCTGTCTGAGGTGTTTTTTTTTGCAGAGCAAAGCTGCCCTCCTGGTGGAGGGTAACTCTGAAGTGCCTTTTTCCCTCCACCTGAACCAATCCTCATGTAACTCTCTTATCTCTATTAAGGTAGCGCGACTCAGGGTTGCGGATGACCACAGTCACAAATTCTTGTCATGTGTCTTGCCCATGTATGTCTGATCTCTGAATTGTGTGTACTGAAACTCTAATTTCCTTCTGGGATTAATAAAGTATCTTTGATTGATTGAATGATGTCAGATTTTATAAATGACCTGTAAGTCCTCCTCCTCCTTCTTGTGTTTCTTTGTGACATCTCAGATGCGAGCCTCCAGAAGCCCACGTCTTGTCCTCAGAGACTCCAGGTCACGCTCCTTGTCACCCTAACCCTAAACACACACACACACACACACACACACACACACACACACACACACACAATTAACATTTTCAGACTAAGAAGCACCACATACAGTTTTGAAATACTCACATCCTTCCTGTAACCAGTGATTTCTTCTCTCAGGCTTCGAATGTTTTGAGCGCGTTTATTTCCTCACCCTTTGCGCTTTCATTAGCTCGGCCTCTGTTGAGTTCCTTCAGCTGAGACACAAAGAGCTGCCTCAGGCCTGATGTCCTCTCATATGAGCTTTTTAAGGCCTGTATCTCAGACTCCAGCGGCTTGTTTTTAGATTCCAGCGTCCGTACCTGAAGAAGCAGGAGAACCCATACTTTACCTATACCATGGCATCAAAAGGTGCACCTACAGTAGAGTTATAAATAAGCATCAGACAGTTTATTTTAGTTCAGCTTGCCTTTTCGATGTACACGGGCAAGCGATCGTTGAGGACGACCATCTCCTGTCGTTCACTGCTACGAGTCATCTTGAACTCCTGGTTCGCTGCTGCAGCCATGTCCAAGTCCAGGTTTGTCCCCTTCCTCATGGACACATCCAACCACAGCGTTCCTATACTCCCACTGCTGGTAAGAAAAGACAAGTAGATGTTTTTCTCTTTTTATACCCCAATGTTTGAAGTTTGCTTTGTCTAAATGAAACTTTTTAACACATTTCATGGAAATGCAGAGTTTAGTGTTTCAACATTTGCCATCTTTTTGTTGGAGCACTGCTTCACCCACCTAGTGAGACGAGACTTGGTGCTCAGAGTTCTGCACCCCATCGTCTTCCATCCCACACTTCGGCTGAAGCTGGAAGACCTGTGACGGCTAACCTTTCTGGTGGGAGATGGACTTGACGCCCGAAGCTGGCTTGCAGGAGACGGACCCTTGTGGCCTTCGAAATGACAGCGATAGGAAGACGTCCTCTCTGGACTTTGGCTCATCTTGATGGCGTTTTAACTGATTTAAGTTCTGCTGAGGAGTGAAGAACGCTCACTCAGTTGTTGTATGGTGGAGGATTTTCATACTCTTCTCACCTATTCCCTCACCACCACAGAGGAATGCTGGACCCTCCCATTCCAGAGGGCGAAGTCCCCACAAACATCTGTCGAGGTCATGATTAATGCAGCTTATAGACTGTAGAAAAAAATAATACACTCAGGGTAAATTACTCTGCTGACCTCTTAAAGGTTTAATTTGAGAATGTTTAGTCTTATGCAATCAAAACAAATATGAATCTAGTTATATTACTGCAGCTAAATTATACCACAAGCAATAACTGCTGTTGAAAAGGAATGGCTGATTAAACGCATATCCTACGTTAGAAAAAAACATATTTTGTACACAAATAATATTTTAAAGTTTTCAGCTTGTGTTTTTTAATCAATCAATCAATCAATCAATCAAAGCTTTATTTATAAAGCGCCTTCCGCAACCCTGTCAGGAAGCCCAAGCGCTTTACATGTTTAGTGACACGTTCTGTTGTGTAATTATACATTTATACAATGTTTTCATGTTAGTATTGTTTTTATTATTGTTGTTGTTGACTTACACAATTATAAGCCATGTTTTCTTTTCTCTTTCTTTCTTTTCTTTTATTTTATTATTTTTTTAACAAATTATTTAATTCCACGTTTATAAATAAATAAATAAATAAATAAATAAATAAATAAATAAATAAATAAATAAATAAATAAAGGGAAACCAGCGCGACTGCAACCCCGGAACCATATTTCTAAGCTACCCGGTAGGTCTTTGGTGTTACACCAGCGTTTGCTAGCAAAACTACTTTTCTTTTGTATTCGCTGGTTTTGTAGGTTAAAACATTAAATACAATTATTTTTTCCGTCTTCAAACCGAAACGACATGGCGGGGAACTTTTGGCAGAGTTCACATTAGTAAGTTGCCATAATTATCAGACCTGTTACGTCCAAATGTTTTAATTCATCGCTTTTGTTGTGAGGCCTTGCTTGTTGCGACTGTTCGAGCTAACACTTTAGTTTATTCCCACCGTAAGTTTTAATTTATTGAATAGATGCAATAGACAGATAAATTAAAAGTACCAGTTTTTTACAAAGATGGAAGTTCCTTTTTATTTGTTTGACCATTCGTATCGTGCCTCTTTCTGTTGTGTTGTTCGCGTTTGGTTTATGTCTTATTTTTTATTTAGCCTTCAGTGGGTTCTGGATAAACAAGACCTAATGAAAGAGCGCCAGAAGGACCTGAAATTCCTCACAGAAGAGGAGTACTGGAAGCTGCAGATTTTCTTTGCAAATGGTAACTTTTAAAATCACCTGTAATAACGTGTTTACTTCAGAAGCTCGTTTATGTGTAGCTGTAGATACAGTTAGTGCATTTCCCTTGAACATATCACGTTTCTATGTTTTTTTTTTCCAGTGATCCAGGCTTTAGGTGAGCACCTGAAGCTGAGACAGCAGGTCATCGCCACAGCAACAGTCTACTTTAAACGCTTCTATGCCAGGTGAGAAGCTGTCTCAGGTAATGATGGAGATCAATGTTGATGCCATCACCAGCTCAGGCTCTTTAAAAACCTTAGTGTCTTTTTAACTCGCGGTGTTTTATTTTACTTACAGAATCAACTCGGATTGTCACGATATTAAAATTTCAAACTCGATTCGATACTGGGGGGGAAAAACTCGATACTCGATTTCGATACTATTTAAAAACACCAATTTATTGAACAAGTTTATTCAAAAAATAACATTCCTCCATTTATATTGCAGAAATTAAATGTTAAGAATTAAGTGTGTAACGTGCTTAAACCTTTCAAGTATCAGCATTTTTTTTAAACGTGCATACAAAAACTGGCGAAAGTTAACACTTTAAATCATGAATTGTCTCATTATATATACACTATTTGCAGAGTGATGTTTTGCTGCTTAAACTCTGTTTAAGGTGCATTTTTGTCATAAGATGTAACGTCATATGTTTTGTTCTGTACTTTTGAACAACTCTGTTGGTCAATAAAGGGAGAAAACGAATTTCTCCACAGTAGGACAAAGGTACATCTACCGGTAATCTTAATAAAAACAGACTGGCGCACGGCAGTGACGTCATTAAAAGCGCCGGTTAGATTAGCCGCGGCTAGTCTGTTTACACCTAGAAATCCCAGACCCGCTCCAAACGAACAGGGAATCATGTTAATGATTCCTAACAAAACCTTTCGACATGAAGATGTTTTGGTGCAGATAATGTCTTATTTCGAGGCTGCACCATGGGTGCCCGTCCGCACCCGTTATATGGATATACGCTGACGGCGATTCGGCGATGGATCTACGGTAAATACCCCGGGGAATCCAAGTAGCACCAAAGTTGTCGGCGTGAGTAAACAAACGTACTGCATGCTAGAAATTAAGTCCGGGTTGCAATAAACGGGAGTTTCCTTTAAGCACATAAGCGTGAATATACAACTACGTGTGGGACTTGGTATGCTAATTAAGTTGGGCTGTGAAGCGCCTCCCAAATTCACTGTTTATGTTTTTGTTTATTTATTTGGCAGACAAAACTTGGATCGGAGACAACTCGCGTGGGAAATTGCAATGTAGCCATGTGGCGTCTTCTTCTTCTGTTTGTCTGGGAGGCGGAGGCTGCTTTACGGCATCTGGCTGTCGTGCGTGTCGGTGTACTTGAAGAAGGCCGTGTATAATAGTCCATAATATCGATACCACAGGGATGAAATATCTCATTTAGATACCACTTTTAGCATCGTTTATATCTAGGTATCGATTTTTTTGACAACACTAGAATCAACACATAAACCTGAAATAATTCCAATCCTCCCACTTAAACATACAAACAGGTTAATTCTTATCATTCAGCTTTGATTTACTCTTTAATCAACTTATAATGTCAAGTTTTTGTGCTGTTGCAAGCTATGAAAATGCAAACTAGAAAAGGGCGGTGTCGGTACAGGATCTGCACGGGTCCAAGATCGGCTCGGGGTCCGTCGACTGCCGATGACGTCTAAGTAGTTGATTGGCTGAACATGAACCTTAAGGAATTACGTAATCACGTTACGTTGTTATCAGGTTACGTTGGTCCAGGCAAATCTTTCTGTTGGAAAGATGGACAACTTTTACAAAGAAATCCATCATTACCTCTTTGAAAATACACTTTTAGCATAGAGCTGCATGTATATTAGGGCTGAACGATTAACTGCATGTGCAATTAAATTGCGATGTGACAAAAGGAGATTTTCTAATCGCAAAGGCTGCAATTTGGCAGCGAGTGGTTAGCGCAATGCTAATATACATGGAAAAACCCATAGGAATGCTAATGCTAATATCACCGATTACATTATTACAAATGATGAATTAGAAACGTGCCAAATGATTACATTTGGAGTCTAATAGAAAGTAAAACTACCATCAATCAAATAGGTACAGACAGGTATTTTAGTAAAGCCAGAACACTTTTAACTCCAGAGTTTTGGCTAGCCGCTATGAGCGTAACTGAACTACGCATGGACAAGACGTCAAAAACTCTAAACACAAAATACTTCAATAAACGGGACACACTTCTTTCCTGCAAATACAATTCCACAGGTGTTGCTAATACCTATGATCCTTCAAGGGATGTGCTCAAAGAGGAGTTCAACATTATGAATACAATATAGTGTTTTATTTTACAAATACCATTATAAACACAAACTTACGTCTTAATAAACATTAATTTAATAACGAAACTGCTAAATTCTTTCCAACAGTTTAGATGCGTAGTGATTTTGTCCGAGTGGGTTTGCCGTACTTTGACGTCATTTGCAGTCGAAGGACCCCGAGCCGATCTTGCACCCGAGCAGATCCTGTACCGACACCGGCACCAGAATTTAACAAGTTTACTGTTGCCAGGAAAAGTACCACTCTCTTGGTTCCTACAACCGCTGTGGGAAAAGATTGGAAGATGTCTGGGCTGCGGTACAAGACTAAGAATGGCTTAGCGGATCAATGTTCATGGAAATGTTTCCAAAATAAAAGCTCAGTTATTTGTGTGTGAAGACTTTCTCCATAAATCCTACTTTTACAGCTGGAGTACTGAAACGGTTTTGTGTGTAGGTATTCTCTGAAGAGTATAGACCCGGTGCTCATGGCTCCGACTTGCGTTTTCCTGGCTTCTAAAGTAGAGGTAAGCAAATTTCAGGGGGATTTTATTTTTTTTAACTTTTGTAAGTTAGCGACCTTGTTAAATGAAGAAATCTTGACTGGATTTTGCTCCTTTTGATATCTTATTGTTTTCCTGAGCTAGCAAACCTTAATTATTTTCCTTCAGGAATTTGGAGTTGTGTCCAACACCAGGCTGATCTCTGCAGCAACATCTGTTTGTAAGTGACAGCCAGAAATCCTACAAAATAAAAGTAAAATAACATTTATGCTGAGCAACGGCTTTAGCTTCACGCTTTCTTTCTTTGACAGTGAAAACAAGATTTTCTTATGCCTTCCCAAAGGAGTTCCCTTACAGAATGAATCATGTAAGTGAAGGATTTTTCCTGCAGTTTTTATTTGATCTCCGTTAAGAAAACGTTAAAGGCCGGAAGCATATTGGATCACTTGTGTCTGATTAAAGTTTTGAGTCTTAACTTTCCACCAAGAGACACCGACATCTGCAAAATGCAATGCAGCTAGTAGCCACCGTTGTAGTCGGCGAACAGCGGCGTGTGTCGGACGTCCCAGAGGCGTGTTGTAGCGCCGCTCTGCTAAAGTTTATGTTCTGTTTTTTATTTTTTTGCACTTCCTTTACACGTTCAAATCAGGCCAAACATGAAGTCAGACATGGGAGCAGTAGAACACATCTGGCAAATTTCAAAATAAGATGTGCAGATTTCCAGTTGCTAGTAAAACTAGTAAAAAATGTTGTCATTACCCGTGACGCCTCCGCAGCTGAGATAAACAACAGAAAACCAACCACAGACCTTTAAAGCTCCATCCCAAAACTCACACTGCGCCCTACAGACACTGTGAAGGGCACTAGGAGGATGTGCACAGTAAGGCGTTGAGTGTGTGGTACACAAGTGTTGATGTTTATGTATTTAGCAGATGCTTTTGTCCAAAGCGACTTACAAGTGATAATCAGCATGTTGCCCTTGAGGCTAACAACAACCAATTTCCAGTCAGTCGTAGGTGGCAGTGAGGCAGCATGATGAATCATGGAGAAGAGGGAACAAGGAGTGGACAGTAGAGAGGGGGGACGGGTGCAGACAAGGTGCTAGTTAAGAAGATGCTCTCTGAAGAGCAGGGTCTTCAGGAGTTTCTTGAAAACTGAAAAGGAAGCCCCTGTTCTGGTCGTGCTTGGTAGGTCGTTCCACATTTGTGGAACGATGCATGAGAAGAGTCTGGATTGTCCTGAGCGTGGTGTAGGCACTGCTAGTCGACGATCCTGTGATGACCGGAGCGGCCGGGCCGAGACGTAAGCCTTTGCAAGAGGATTCAGGTAGATGGGAGCCGTACCGTCTCAAGCTTTGTATGCTAGTGTTAGCAATTTGAATTTGATGCGGGCTGCTAGCGGTAGCCAGTGGAGCTCAATGAACAGAGGGGTGACATGTGCTCTTTTTGGCTGACTGAAGACCAGACGCGCCGCTGCGTTCTGGACCATTTGAAGAGGTCTCACAGTACAGCCTGGAAGACCAGTTAGAAGGGCGTTGCAGTAATCGAGGCGGGAGATGACAGTAGATTGCACCAGGAGCTGGGCGGCATGTTGTGTTAGGTATGGTCTGATCTTTCGTATATTATACAGCGCAAAGCAGCATGAAGGAGCAACAGAGGCAACATGATCTTTAAAGATCAGGTGTTCATCAATCACAACACCCAGATTTCGAACTGCCTTTGAAGGAGCCAGAGATAGGAAGTCATTCTGGATTGAGATATTGTGCTGTATGGATGGTTTTGCTGGGATGACAATAGTTCAGTTTTAGAGTGGTTGAGTTGGAGATGGTGGGATTTCATCCATTTTGATATGTCAGAGAGACAGTTTGATATTCGTGCAGAGACAGTGTGGTCGTCCGGCGGAAATGACAGATAGAGCTGGGTGTCGTCTGCATAGCAGTGGTAGGAGAAGCCATGTGATGGAATGATCTCACTCAGTGAAGTGGTGTATATAACAAAGAGAAGAGGCCCTAGTACAGAGCCCTGGGGGACTCCTGTGGCAAGATGGTGCACGTTAGAAGATTGTCCAAGTCAAGATACACTGAATGATCATCCTGTGAGGTACGATTCAAACCAGGCGTGTGCTTTCTCTGTGATGCCCATGCTAGAGAGTGTGGACAAGAGGAAGCCATGGTTGACAGTGTCAAATGCAGCCGATAAGTCAAGCAGGATAAGCACTGAGGATTTGGCAGTCGCTCTAGCATCTTTTAAGGATTCAGTCACTGCTAACAGAGCAGTTTCAGTGGAGTGGCCCTTTTTGAACCCAGACTGGTAAGGGTCAAGCAGACAGTTTTGTGAGAGGTATTCTGTGATCTGCTTGAAAGCCACCCTTTCAATGATTTTGGACAGAAAAGGGAGGAGAGAGAGAGGTTGGTAGTTCTTCACATGATTTGGAGGAAGTGATGGTTTTTTTTAGCAGCGGTTTAACCTGAGCATGCTTGAGAGAGGTGCAAATAATTGCCTCATCGACCACAACGCATGCCGGGATGCTGGTTAAAAAGAAATAAAAATAAAACTTTAATAACAAACAACCAAACAATTATTTGAATTAATTTATATTCATTGCTGCTCCGTCTAAAACATTCAGAGCATTAATTAGTCATCCTTGAATTAACTACTTTTGTTTGAAAGTACATCTTTTCAGAAAAGGCACTTGAGCCTTTTCTCCTGCAGCAATGCATTGTGGGTAATTCCAGTCACCCAAGTCCGCTATCTTCTTAAGGCCCTGTCCACACGTAGCCGGGGATCTGCCAAAACGTAGATATTTTTCTACGTTTTGGCCTGTCATCCACACGAAAACGGAGTTTTTTCACACGAAAACGGATCTTTTTAAAAACTCCGGCCAAAGTGAAGATCTGCGTTTTCTCCGTTTTGGGTGTCTGCGTGTGGACGGACAAAACCGGAGTTTTAAGGTCCGCAACGTCACTTTCTGCGACAAAAAAAATGCTGACATCACGTGTGCGACCTGTGTTTACACTAGCCGACAGCATGGATGCCCTCAGAGCTGCGCTCGCTTTATCAATTGTCCAAGCGCTTTTTGCTTGTTTGTTTTTGCAAGAGGAATTACTGCTCCTAGCGGAAGACCACAGACGAAGGACGAGGTTAAGAACGGGGGAAGTACTGCCGCCTACAGGTCTGGCATGTCCTTAACAACGTATTTATCCGGGTACGTGTGGACAGAGTTTTGTTTTTAAAACGAGGTGGTGTGGATGCAAGTTTTTGGAGGGGCGGATATTTGTTTAAAAAAAACCCGGCTACGTGTGGACTAGACCTTAATCATCTCGCTGGATCAGATGCGTGGAATGCATTTCGCACCGGCTGCACATCTGAACCTTCCTTGCTGATTTATCAGCGTGAAAATATTCTAGGTGAGTGAGGAACTTGTAATTTTTGTTTATTCCAAACATACATTTTGAGCCCCCCCCCCCATTAATGCACATGCCCGAGGATGACCTAAGCGTCTTCCTCTGCAGCGTTGTTTATGTGATGCTTTCCAGCTCACCAAGACGCCCTCACGCTCTTTCACAGTGCCGTTACATTTCTGGTTGCTGGTACGCAACATTCCTCAGTTAATGCGTAGCACCACAGAGCTCCCAGAACCTCGTCAGAACCGTTTGGACACGTTGATTACAGCGGGGCACCGGATTGACGACAGCTCCTTGGGCAACGATGGTCCAAGTGTCCAAGAAGTCAAATGGGAATGCTGTCAGGCTGTTCTAGGGTCAGTCGAAGTCGAATGTTTTTATTTTTTGTTGTTTAGTTAAAAATAATTAATCTGCTGATCTCAAAGGGGAGGAGTTTAAGTATCTCGAGGTCTTGTTCACGAGTGAGGGTAGGAGGGATCGGGAGATCGACAGGCGGATTGGTTCGGCGTCTGCAGTGATGCGGACACTGAGCCGATCTGTCGTGGTGAAGAGGGAGCTGAGCCAGAAAGCCAGGCTCTCGATTTACCGGTCGATCTACGTCCCAATCCTCACCTATGGTCATGAGCTTTGGGTAATGACCGAAAGAACGAGATCGCGGATACAAGCGGCCGAAATGAGTTTCCTCCGTAGGGTGGCCGGGCTCAGCCTTAGAGATAGGGTGAGGAGCTCGGACATTCGGGAGGGACTCGGAGTAGAACCGCTGCTCCTCCGGATGGAAAGGAGTCAGTTGAGGTGGTTTGGGCATCTGGTCAGGATGCCTCCTGGACGCCTCCCTGGGGAGGTGTTTCGGGCATGTCCTGCCGGCAGGAGGCCCCCGGGTCGACCCAGGACACGTTGGAGAGGTTACATCTCCAATCTGGTCCGGGAACGCCTTGGGGTCCTGCCGGAGGAGCTGGTGGAGATGGCCGGGGAGAGGACGGCCTGGAGCTCCCTAGTTGGGATGCTGCCCCCACGACCCGGACCCGGATAAGCGGAGGAAGACGACGACGGTCTCATAAAGACCGGTTCTGTTCCGAGTTTCTTCCTCTTTTTTTTTCCTTCATCACACAGCTCAGCTTGTTGTCCGACACAAATAACGGTCCCTCTGGAACGCGTGGTCACTCAGCTGAGTGCTCAGCTTTAATTACAGCACCCATCTTTCTGGTTGTTTTCCGTTCGTGTCTCTCAGACTGACCGTAGACCGCTCGTCTCTCCCCAGATATTAGAATGTGAGTTCTACCTTCTGGAGCTGATGGTGAGTAGAAAAGCGTTTCCTCTGTCGCTGAGCCGACGCCATCACCTGGATGACTGTCGCCTTCTGTTTCAGGACTGCTGCCTGATCGTGTACCACCCCTACAGACCCCTCCTGCAGTACGTGCAGGACATGGGACAGGAAGACATGCTGCTGCCGCTGGCCTGGTACCACTCTGGGTTCTGCTTGTGTCAAACACGATTTGATGGCGTGTTTTAAAGCGTCTCGCTTTTCTTTCTCAGGCGGATAGTGAACGACACCTACAGGACGGATCTGTGTCTGCTCTACCCTCCCTTCATGATCGCCCTCGGTGAGAGTTTGCTTCTCTGACTCCCTTCCTTAGATTTGATCTGATCAGTTCTTCTTCTCCTCCCCTGCAGCTTGTCTACACGTCGCCTGTGTGGTGCAGCAGAAAGATGCCAGGCAGTGGTTTGCAGAGCTCTCTGTGGACATGGACAAAGTAAGATGGATGTTTTTTTTAATGTTTTAACAACAGACGCCTTATTTTATCCACGTAGTTCTGCGTCTTTGGCTAATCTTTCTAAGGTTATATAGCCAAGTGGTATACTTCAGCGTTAAGCTATTTCAGTCTGATTTGTCCAGTCAGGGAGTGGGCGGGGTCTGGTGGGGATCAGCGTTTCTTGTTCTTTACTCAAATTTAATAAAATCCAACATTTAGACGCCCAAACAGACTGATGTGGGAACATTTTCACATTTAAATCCTACGTTCCACACAACAGGGTGGGTCCTTAAAAAGTCTCAAATGTGCTTTTCCAAATTTAAGGCCTTAAAAATGACAAATATTCCTTAAATGCAGTTTCCAAAGGTCTTTAATTACCAAAGATCCAATTAACAAGATTCTTTTATTTCTATCAAATTTGGTGAATTTCTACTTAGTGTTCGACGTTTTTTGTGTGCGATGTTGGCGTAAGAGGAACCGTACACATGCAGTTGGTTGTGAAGGGGGACTACTTTTAGATGAGCACGTTAGCTGGTTAAGCTAGTGGGAGCTTGCGCCATGGGGAAGTTTAATGGTTACTGGATGGCTAATCCCACGATCGCTACGTGGTTGGCACCGGTTCCAGGCGGTAGCTGGAAATTATAGCTTAAATTAAATTTTTTTAAATGAGCCGCACTTGTATAGCGCCTGTCAGAGTCAGGACTCCAAGGCGCTTTACACTACAGTGCATCATTCATCCATTCACACGCCCATGCTAGCGTGGGGACGAGCTACGATGTAGCCACAGCTGCAAGTGTTGCCCAAGGACACAACAGCAGAATTCTCTGTCCGGAGCCGGGATCGAACCCGCAACCTTCCGATTACTGGACAACCCGCTCAACCTGTCGAGCTGCTGCTGCCCCGCTTAAATAGCTTGAATTTGGCTCGCTTGAACCTGCAGATGCCCTGCACCAGGACGGGTCCGTGTGTGAACGAGTTCCTAAGTCGATGTTTTCTTTTAAGATCCTGGAAATTATCCGTGTCATGCTGAAGCTTTACGACCAGTGGAAGAATTTTGATGACAGGAAGGAGATCGCTGCTATCCTGAACAAGATGCCAAAACCCAAACCACCACCCAACAGGTAGGTCTGACCCGGTTCTGGTACCTTTCAGACTTTTAGTCCTTCTGTTGCACCGTGTGTGTGATGAACGGAGAACACGTTCTGCAGTAGGTTTATTTTTTTTACCTCTCAATCGGGCCTGGATTCACCAAAAGGTTTCTCATCCATTTAGTGATCTATGTCTGTCTAATTCACCGGCTCCTCCTGAAACTGTTCCAAACTGCATCAGAAAGAGAAAAAAACAGAATTGTTTCAATATAAGTTTAATTCTTTTGCTTTTCGTTTTTCTTCCTGCAGTGAAGGTGATCAGAGCTCCAACGGGAACCAAAGCAACTCCTACAGCCAGTCTTAGCAGAAACCTCTGTGTTCACGGGGGGGGGGGGGGGATCCATAATGTCATGAACTTTGGGACGAGTCGAGTTTGTCGGCGTCGCTCTAAAACCCGATCCAAGCCCTCACAACTCCGAGCACCGAACCGACTCTCCTCCCACTCTTTTACCGTGGACCCTTGGATCGGAAACGCCCGGAGCGACGAGCCGACCGACCGTTCCCGCTGTCCTCTCCATCAGGCGGATGACTTTGACCGGATATGAATAAAAACTGGTGAAGGTGCGAGAGGGAAAACTGCCTGATCCTGAAGTCCTTGAACCATCCCTAGGAGCAAATTAGAACTCTGTGGGATTTGAGAAAACGTAATCATGAGTACTGTATGTTCACGTGTGTGTGTGTGTGTGTGTGTGTGTGTGTGTGTGTGTGTGTGTGTGTGTGTGTGTGTGTGTGTGTGTGTGTGTGTGTGTGTGTGTGTGTGTGTGTGTGTGTGTGTGTGTGTGTGTGTGTGTGTGTGTGTGTGTGTGTGTGTGTGTGTGTGTGTGTGTGGTCTGGGTGGGGTTTCGTTGCTCAGGGATCGCTGTAGTTTTCTCCATCAGTGAACGATTCTGTGCAGTTGAGTGGATCTGATTGGACGTGTGACTAAAGAGTTAGCATCTTGATAAAATCACTGTGCTGTGTTCATAAACCACAATTTACTGTTCCAATCATGACGATTCACTTATTCCCTTCCGTTCTCTCGTCTGTTGTGGATCGTATTTTCTGTATAATTTTTGCTTTATTAATGAAGTTGATACAAATGCCGAGTTAAACTTTGTGCTAAGCGCTTCTGCTTGTTTAGTTTTTGGGTGATTCTTTTAGTCTGGTGCAAAAATATAGAACATTTGTGAGCTAGTTTTCCTTTTGAAGCGTTTGGCTTCGGTTGTTTTCAAGTATCTGTTTTTGTCGTAAATATTTGCTGAAAGGGATTTATATTAAAAACTTTTTTTTTTTGCCGAAACAGTTCCTAGTTTCCTGAATGGCCTCTGTTTGAAGAAATAGCTTTAACATCTTACAGAGCTGATGAGCTTAAGTCTAAAGTTTGCTGCTAACTTCCTAAAATGTCTCCAATCTAACTTTTTTTAAACGTTTTACAGCAAATAAATAATTCCTGATGTGTGTGTGTGTGTGTGGCTGCAGCATTTGATGTTTATGCTTGTAAACAACCATGCATTTCCATATAAATCACAATGTCAAGTCGACAGCAGTGTAAGAGTTAATAAAGTTACTTTGCATGGACTGGATTATAGATTAGCAACAGCAAAGCACTTTAATCTCGCCCAGAGCTACTCGAGGAAAGGCCTCCAGGGCCGGTATTCTGCACATTTTAGTGGTTTCTCTGCTTCAACGCACGAGTCAGCGGTTGAATCATCTGTGCAGCAGCTCATCAGGCTCTGCAGAAGCCTGTTAATCTGCTGATTGAAGCAGAGTTGAAACCAAAACGTGCTGGCAGTGGCTACCAGCCCTCGAGGACCAGAACCGAATAACCCTGGTCTAGCCTGTACCAAGTCTCGCTGTTAGCTTACACGCAACAGTACTGACTAGCTATTTCTCCTAGTAGAGGCCGTTCAGGAAGCCGTCTGGTAGGTAATTCCACAAACTAAAACGTGTTTGTGCTCATGCCTTTAGATGTGTGAGCGTGTGGCTCTTCACAAGATGCTTGACAGTCTTGGAATATACAAGCTGCTGGTAGCAGTAAAATCTAACAACACACACCGTCACAGTCGGGAAAAGAGGTTCTAAAGTAGTGCCGACTGGGTTTGTTTTTGCTTGTTTTGTGGCACAGCCAGAAAAAAATAATGAAGTTTTCTTTTGAACTGTAATAAACAAGCTGCTGACTTCACACAAAAGAACAGTGAGAGGGCTTCATGTCACTTCTAACATCACCACATGTGGAAACAACACTGAAGCCTGTGTTGGACAATAAAAGGTGTGGTACACAAAGTACATTTCTGCCCAATTTGCATAAATACATCATGTTCATGTAACAGCCCGGGCGATTTTCCAGTGGTGTGCTTTAGTGTTTACCCAAGTTCAACGTCAACTCAGGACAGCAGCGATGTGGCGCCCCCTCGCGGTGAAGGTAGCGAATACGTAACAGAGCGTAGCTCTAAAATGACAAAAGTGATGAAAACATCATTAAATATGCAGAAGTTCATGTTTAAAGACTAGAAGAATTTTGGTGAAGGTAAAGCTTTGTTTTTTTTTTATTTCCTGCACAACCTGACACCTTGGCACAGCCAGTTTCCGTGACGTCACGCTGTGCGTGAGGCATTCAGAACATAGCGGAAGTAGAAAAGACAACTTTCTCGTCTTTTCAAAATAGTCCCATTCATTTGATTTGATTTATTTGAGGTTACATTGAGTGTTTGGGATTGCGTCGGTCCGAAAAATAAAATCCGATTTTAGTTTTACTTTTTATTTTGCGCTTTCATCTCAATAAGAAAATTACAAATTAAGTTTTACACCCCTATTTTGAGTTCCCATGTTGCAGTAATAAAACACAAAGAACTGTTTTTACTCACAGGACTGTCACAAAAAAAATCCCCTAATGACAATATTTGGGTAATATATTCTTATGTCAGTATTACCTAGTTAAAAAATGTTACTAATCTTGTAAATTAAAGGTGCACAATTGTTTGGCCATCATTAGCACATTTGAAACAACTGACTGAATAAAATGCTTTAGGATGAAGCCAACCAAAAACAAAACTGGCTACATAAAATAATAGGCCAACAAGCAAACATAAAAACAGCACAATGTACATCATAATTTTCTAAGTGTTTACACTTTATTTAAATCTAATTCCACTGTGAAATGGTGAACGAAGCATTTAATTTATAGATCAGCCATCAATATGACCTTACTCAGATTCTGCTTTTATTTTGAAAGATAAACAGGAAGTGTACGGGTGTGTGATTCTTGTCCTGACAGCAACAACAGCAGGGTCAAATAGAGAGCTCCTCACTGGCTTCGGAGGACGTCCTCCCCGCCTCGGGGATACATTTCGGACGGGATGCTTGGGTCCACCGGGCTCTTCCCGGTCCAGCCGCCCTCTGCCTTCCCGCTTCCGGACCCATGACGCCCCGGCCCCGCTGATGAAGGCCCGACCTGCTGAAGCGAGGCGGATAGCGGCCGGAGACGCTGAGCATGTTGCACTGGCGCGTCGGGTTCGCCTGGACAGGCTCGTGTGTGGTTGATCTTGGCCAGAACCAGAGCTTCTCCTCCGGCCTGCCGGGCTCCGATGAGCACTTTTATGGGTCCATCATCGCCGTCCGTCTCCGGGACTACGGCGGGATGATGTCGGCGCTGGGTTCGGATTCGTGGTGGAGAAGGACGCTGTACGTGACTGGAGGGGCTCTGCTGGCCGCTGCTGCGTATCTGCTGCACGAGCTGCTGGCCATCAGGTACCGAGAACAGCATCAACACACACACACCCACACACACACACCTGGCCCGGGCCCCGGAGCACCAACGGAGGCTTAAACACCTCCAGTCAGATCTGCTGTATGCTCTCACTCGTGTTTGTTACTACTTTATCTCATCCAAGTGGGCGGGGCGAGAGTGGGAAAATAAGGAATCGTGAGCGGGGGATCGTGACGTCACGGAACCTCCACCTCTATTATTGTGGTGCACCGATTTGTAAAGTAACACATGTAAGCTGTTTGTTTAGCTTCAAACATGTTTAAAATCAATATATACCAAATATGTTTTTGTACACTATGCTTTTATTTTGGTAGGCAACTTCGTTTTGTTTGAACGTCTGAATTTGCACGTCAGCTAATATTTAGTTTCAATTGACCGTTCATATTTAATTTAATATATTTTAAATGTAATTTTAGATATTCAAAATTCTAAATACTTTTAAAATGATTATTTAATAGACATGCAATTGAAATGATTAATTAAGAGAAATTTCAAACTACATATTTAACACATTTTTTTGTTAGGACGAGCTAAATGTGGTTACACATTTTAAAGTTTGTATATAATTGACAATCAGCACTGCATACCAACCCCCCTCCTGGACAACACACATACGGAGATTTCCACATTTATGGGTTATTAGGCTGATTAATGTCCTTATTGACCCGCAGCAGGGTAATGTCTCATCTCCTAGGTTTGTCTGAGCTACATCCTGTTTCATAAGGCACATTGATACGAAACACAGCAGGCCACTTTGATCCTTATTTATTTTATTATGAGTACAATTTTCAGACAATAATTAGAAATTAGTTTTTAAAAGATGTAAAAACGGCACAGATTATCAGATAATGAAAACCAAGTGACCCACGGTAGGCCTGGGACTTCTTTTCCAGCCTACAGAGACTTGAGTCTCCTTCTTTCTCCATAAATTAAACAACTATATGTTTTCCTCTTCACACAGAAAGGAAGAGGAGCTGGACTCTAAAGATGCCATCATACTCCATCAGTTCTCCAGGCCCAGATCCAGCTTCCCCTCCCTGTCCCCTTTTTGTCTTAAGCTGGAGACCTACCTCCGCATGGCCGACCTGCCCTACCAGGTGAGTCCATCGTTTTATTCCAAATTGGATCTGATTTCTTTAAAAGCTTCTTCTTTGGAACGTTCTCCATTTGCTGTTCCTGAATCCCGTCTCTTCTCTGCTCTAGAACTGCTTTGATGGAAAGCTCTCACCTCAGGGGAAGATGCCGTGGATCGAGTACAACCAGGAGCAGGTGTTTGGCACCGACTTCATCATCGAGTTTCTGGAGGAGAGGCTGGGCGTGAGCCTCAACAAGGGCCTAACCCCGCAGGAGAGGGCCACGTCTCGAGCCATCACCAAGATGGTGGAGGAGCACTTCTACTGGTGAGCTCCACCTCAGCTGCTTTAGTCTGGTCTTAGATGAGGGTCCAAAGGAGAGAGTGGAGCTAATTTTCAGCTAATAAAAGGAGAAACGGCTCTATATGATGTGTGTGTTTGTGTGCACGTGGGTGTTATTTTTCCAAGGACTGTAGCTTACTGTCAGTGGGTGGATAACCTGGAGGAGACCCAGAAGATGCTGTTGGTGAGCGGACCTCTGAGCGACCTGCTCAAGTGGATCCTGAGCCACCTGACTGGCGGGATCCTCAAAAGAGAGATGTACGGTCACGGGATCGGTCGTTTCTCCACGAAGGAGGTGTACTCACTGATGGAGAAGGACATGCGCACGCTGGCAACACTTCTAGGTGACATCTTTTGGCCCCATTTGAGTCATTAGGCTTGTTTCCATTACCAGAACTCCAGGGTCGTTCCTAGGATGGGAATCTTGACCAGGAGATGGGATGTCCCGGTCCTCTCGGCTGCACAGACGTCAGCGTACCACGACTGTCACTGATCAGCCCCAAAAAGCGCCCAAAGTAACATTAATAATATCAAAAGCCTTTATTTTATAGAATATATAGTAATTTCATCCATTCAGAGGACAAGAGCAGCTCTGAGTTTTGTGAGACGAGCCCCGTTGTTTAAACGGACTTTAGAATTTTTATGCTCGTGATCGCCCCCTCAGGCCAAAAGTGTAACGGCAGCTTCAATAGCAGGCTCGTGCACGAGGCGCGCATGCTGTACGTGCACACTCCTTAACGAAAATAACAGCTGAGACAGTCCTGTGTGTGTGTGTGCGTGCGTGTGTGTGTGTGTGTGTGTGTGCGTGTGTGTGCGTGTGTGTGTGTGTGTGTGCGTGTGTGTGTGTGTGTGTGTGTGTGTGTGTGTGTGTGTGTGTGTGTGTGTGTGTGTGTGTGTGTGTGTGTGTGTGTGTGTGTGTGGCCCGGAGGACAGAGGACAGGAGAACGTGCAGCTAATTAATTAAATAATTTGGTTCTGTACCTTTCTCTTCAGCACAGCCGACAAAGGTTTATGATGGGTCAGTCCTCCTGCATGCTCAGATCATTCCCTTCCCTTGCTTGAAAAATTGTTCCAAAATGAAAGTTGAACCCACATCTTTTTTATCTGTGAATTCAATGCCGTTCGGCGAGTCTTAAATAAAAATTTGGGCATCTTACTGTAAAAAATATACCATTAATGTAAAAAATAAACTCTAAATGAACTATGTTCACATCCAGAATCAAGCCCAGGTCTTCTGCAGAGAGTCTGACGTCTTACTAGGTGAGCTGAAGCGCCAGTGACATCCTCTGCATCTGTAACATTTATATCCTTGATGACAGCTGAAACAACGTCAATCCAAAGAACGGTTCGGAGTAAAAATGGCTATTTTGTTGCTAATTAGCAGGAAATATCTAGAAGAAAGTTGTACAGAAAGTAGCTAAGGGTCCTCAGAAATGTAGCTAGCTTTGTCACTAGGCGTTAGGAACAGCGACAAAGTGGCACTGCCTCTCTCTCTGCTGCTAAAGCTACGGATAGCAAATGCTACGGGCGATGCCTGAGCGTGAACGCGCATGAAGCAGCCTGCTCGACCCGAGCATCTCTCTTTTTCTGTGATTTTACAGAAAAACAGGCAATCACAGTAAAAATGCCAGGGCTCATTCTACAGGACCAGGGCTTTGCAGGAGAATGTATGAAGAAGACATTTATTATTTCTATACATGTTTTGGCTGTCACACTTCCATAATGCCCCTTTAAGTGTGTGGGAGGATTAAAATGCGATCGGTGCTCATTTTCTTTTGCTTCCTTTCTGCTTCACCAGCTACTCTTCTAGTTTTGCTGCTGCCGGTTGTTTTGGTCATCTGCTGATGTCATTTCCTTCTGAGTTGCAACCAATCAGCGTGAGTTAACTCAGCTACTCCACTTCTGAGGACCTACTCCAGAGCAGGTACTCAGAAGGTTCCTGAAATGGCCCGAAAAACGGCCGTTCGGACGGCCCGGTCAGGTGGAGACACGGGCAAGTCAGGAGGTTCCTGTAAATCTCCCCTGGAGTTCTTGTAGTGGAAACACGCCTATGATGGAGGAAAAACCCTGATGAATGAGGCTGAGGAGAGCTGAGCATCTGTAGCTCAACACTGACCTCTTGTGGTGATGTGAAGAATTGATGAAACAGATTCTGATGCTGCTGAGAAGCAAAAAGGATTTATTTGACAATAAATACCATCAAGTCATGATTATAATTAAGCTTTTGAGCTCTTTCTATATTTAGAATATATAATAATCTGTTTTTTAGGTGAGAAGAAGTACATGATGGGCTCTAGGCTCTCAGCAGTAGATGCTGCCGTCTTCGGTCATCTGGCTCCGGTCATGTGGATGCTGCCTGGATCCCGACCAGAACAGCTCATCAAAGGTGAGTTTACTACAAAGAAAATAAAAGTGCATTTTATTTAAAAATAAAAACACACACCTTCTGTCCTTGGATGTGTGTGTGGACAACCTGATGGCTTCAGGGCACCAAGGGAAAATTAACTAATTATAGCCTGGTCAGCCTAAAAATCAGAAAATTAAAATAATCATTTTTATTGATGATAATATAATACATTTTTAACCTTTTCAGTCACTAAATGTTTTAAAAATGACAACTTAGTGGAAACTAGATTTATTATGTTTATTTTTGAACTACTGTGATTAAATGAAATCCTTGAAAAAGTTTCAGATTTAGCGTGGTAGTCTCAAGCGTTTCGAGAACTATAGAAGCCATAATTTCACATGATTAGCTTAATCTGTGAACAACTAATCTCAAACATCAGATTTACAATAAAAACTTCAGTCTTTAAACTCATCATGGCCAAGGAGCAATACAAACACTTTCCTGCTCACAAAGCACTGATTCACATTTATTCAACCTCAGATTTCATTCTAAAAGTAAAAATTTCTACTTTATCAGAAATTAGAAAATAAGTTTCAGTCAGACATTTATTATTTTTTTAAAGGGACAATATGGAAGTGTGACAGCCAAAACATGTATAGAAATAATAAATGTCTTCTTCATACATTCTCCTGCAATGCCCTGGTCCTGTAGAATGAGCCCTGGCATGTTTACTGTGATTGCCTGTTTTTCTGTAAAATCACAGAAAAAGAGAGATGCTCGGGTCGAGCAGGCTGCTTCATGCGCGTTCACGCTCACCCCGGCTTTCCACAGCAGCCGTCAGCAGCACGTCATAGCTGCTGATAGGAACCGCTGTGGTCAACAGAACCTTTTCCACAGGAGCCGTCAGCAGCGCGAGTCGGCCGCGTCTCAGGAGCAGCATGTCGCGGCCTTTACGCGCCGGTTCTATTTCCTACGCGCGACGCCTCTGAAACGGGTCAAGTTCGACATTTTTGGGGAAGGAAAGACAGGAAATCGGACGCGGAAATGGAGAGAAGCTCCCGAAATTTTCAGAATAAAGAACGTACTTCCTTCCGGTCGCTTTACTTTAAAAAAGGTTACTAACTGTGCGGCCCCGTGAGAAGTTATCACCTAGCTAGCGGTCTCCTTTGTTTTTCAGGTCCGTATTGGCGATTATAAAACGGACAGAATATAAAAACACAAACATTTTGGAGCCATGTTGTAGTTTTCTCCTGCTTGTTGTTGTGTTTACTGACGAAGTCACTCGTGTGACTTCGTGCTCTGTCGGTGACAGCTGCTCCCCTGCTGATTCGCGTCTCGTGGGAAGGGCCAAGCAGCAGCTTACGCGAGCAAGATGTGCTGCTGCAGTAACGTGCTGCTGACGGCTCCCGTGGAAACCCGGGGTTAGGCATCGCCCGTAGCATTTGCTATCCGTAGCTTTAGCAGCAGAGAGAGAGGCAGTGCCACTTTGTCGCTGTTCCTAAAGCCTAGTGACAAAGCTAGCTACATTTCTGAGGACCCTTAGCTACTTTCTGTACAACTTTCTTCTAGATATTTCCTGCTAATTAGCAACAAAACAGCCATTTTCACTCCGAACTGTTCTTTGGTTTGACGTTGTTTCAGCTGTCATCAAGGATATAAATGTTACAGATACATTTAATGTTACTGGTGCTTTAGCTCACCTAGTAAGATGTCTGACTCTCATGCAGAAGACCTGGGTTTGATTCTGGATGTGAACATAGTTTATTTAGAGTTTATTTTTTACATTAATGGTATATTTTTTTACAGTAAGATGCCCAAATTTTAATTTGAGACTCGCCGAACGGCATTGAATTCACAGATAAAAAAGATGTGGGTTCAACTTTCATTTTGGAACAATTTTTCAAGCAAGGGAAGGGAATGATCTGAGCATGCAGGAGGACGGACCCATCATAAACCTTTGTCGGCTGTGCTGAAGAGAAATGTACAGAACCACATTATTTAATTAATTAGCCTCGCGTTCTCCTGTCCTCCGACACACACACACACACACACACACACACACACACACACAAGGGACTGTCTCAGCTGTTATTTTCGTTAAGGAGTGTGCACGTACAGCATGCGCGCCGCGTGCACGAGCCTACTATTGAAGCTGCCGTTACGCTTTTGGCCTGAGGGGGCGATCACGAGCATAAAAATTTAAAAGTCCGAAAAGTCCCTTCAAAGAGCAAGTCACCCCCTGCCAGAGTCTAACTCCACTCCCACTTCCTGTTTGAAAAATGCAACAAATGCTGTTGCCTAGCAGACCGAGAGGGTGGAGCCGCTAACAAATACACACATTCATGACATTGTGACATCATAATGTACCATCTAACATCATAGTGTACCTCTTCGCCAATAGCGACGGCAGATTTAAATTCAAATGCGGTGCTGAGTTTTTACCTGACGACGGTGCAACGCTGACCGTTTTAGGCCGAATATTTAAATTTTAACTAAGATGCACTAAAGGCAGCACGATCAGACACTCATGTATAAAGTTTATCAGTAAAAAAAAAAGTTGATTTGGAATGACTTGCTCTTTAAGACAAACTTAAACTGGTTTTTTCACAACATAATGAAACAGTAGGGAGACAAGGATGTGGAAAAAAACACTGTAAGGGGCTTGAAACTGGAAAACTTATAACATTTTATTTTGAAAGCAAAAAAAGTATATTTTTGAATCTATGAAGGGATCTCCAGGAGTTGTTGAGTCTGTTCATAAACCTTTTATAAATGTTGGGTTGTAGTTTATAGAGAAGTCAACTCTTCCTGTAAATCCAGAGCAGCTGACGTGATCCTGTAGCTGATGAGACTCTGCGCTCCCACTGAGGTTCTGCTCTCTCCCAGGTGAGCTGATCAACCTGGCCATGTACTGCGAGCGAATCCGCCGGCGGTTCTGGCCCGAGTGGTTCGTGGACCTGGAGGATCTGCGCTACAACGCTGCAGGTGACAGCGACACGCCTTCAAAACTCCCCGATTTGGGCCTCTACTCTCGCTCGGACACCTCCGGGGAGACGGTGTGCTCGTACACGTCGTACGAATCGTGCACGCGCACGCCGCAAGAACCGCAGGAGCCTCCTTCTCCGGTCAGCGACCCGACGGGCCACTCGCTCTACGACTCCGACATGGACACAGAATGCTCTGAAACGGATCAGCTCAAGTGTTGACAAAACACACACTCTGGCAGCACACACTCCTGTTGCACACGTGCACTGGAGGGGAGCGGAATCACACACACACACACACACACACACACACACACACACACACACATGCTTCTGACAACTAAACAGTGGGGGAGAATTTCTGGAGGTTGAAGGAGCGCAGAGTTGCAAACTAGTGCAGGAAAGATCCCAGAAACGAGGTAAAGAGAGAGAATGGTGCTAAAACCGAGAGCCGGTGGAAAAGTAGCTAAACTAGAGAGGGCGTGTCCGTGTCACATTGTTGTAACCATGACAACGACACATGCTGTGCAGCCTCGTGTGTTTTGTGTGTGTGTGTGTGTGTGTGTGTGTGTGTGTGTGTGTGTGTGTGTGTTTTGATCATCTTGTGCTAAATCCATACAGGTTTTTAGTGTTTGGATCTGAGCAGAACTGAACCGAACCAGTTCAGTGTAAACAAAATGAATCCCATTTATTAGAATAACAAATTATTTTCTGAGCATAAATCATAGATAGAAAGTAAATCTTTTATCATATAATGTAAATACTGTAAGTGTTCCATTTGTTTTAAACACGGATGAGAAAAAAAGTCCTCCCGCCTGGATTTAACCCTCTCACTGTCTTTATGGGCGACCCGCGAGGAAAGTTGACCGTTGAGCAGGATTGATGGTTTATCCCTTGAGGTCCACGTGGATTCAATTCAATTTTATTTATATAGCGCCAAATCACGACAACAGTCGTCTCAGGGCACTTAAAGGAGCATTATGGAAGTGTGACAGCCAAAACATGTATAGAAATAATAAATGTCTTCTTCATACATTCTCCTGCAATGCCCTGGTCCTGTAGAATGAGCCCTGGCATTTTTACTGTGATTGCCTGTTTTTCTGTAAAATCACAGAAAGAGAGAGATGCTCGGGTCGAGCAGGCTGCTTCATGCGCGTTCACGCTCAGGCATCGCTCGTAGCATTTGCTATCCGTAGCTTTAGCAGCAGAGTGAGAGGCAGTGCCACTTTGTCGCTGTTCCTAACGCCTAGTGACAAAGCTAGCTACATTTCTGAGGACCCTTAGCTACTTTCTGTAGAACTTTCTTCTAGATATTTCCTGCAAATTAGCAACAAAATAGCCATTTTCACTCCGAACCGTTCTTTGGTTTGACGTTGTTTCAGCTGTCATCAAGGATATAAATGTTACAGATATAAAGGACGTCACTGGCGCTTTAGCTCACTTAGTAAGATGTCTGACTCCCATGCAGAAGACCTGGGTTTGATTCTGGATGTGAACATAGTTTATTTAGAGTTTCTTTTTTACATTAATGGTATATTTTTTTACAGTAAGATGCCCAAATTTTTATTTGAGACTCGCCGAACCGCATTGAACTCACAGATAAAAAAGATGTGGGTTCAACTTTCATTTTGGAACAATTTTTCAAGCAAGGGAAGGGAATGATCTGAGCATGCAGGAGGACGGACCCATCATAAACCTTTGCCGGCTGTGCTGAAGAGAAAGGTACAGAACCACATTATTTAATTAATTAGCTGCACGTTCTCCTGTCCTCCGGGCCACCCACACACACACACACACACACACACACACACACACACACACACACACACACACACACGGGACTGTCTCAGCTGTTATTTTCGTTAAGGAGTGTGCACGTACAGCATGCGCGCCTCGTGCACGAGCCTACTATTGAAGCTGCCGTTACGCTTTTGGCCTGAGGGGGCGATCACGAGCATAAAAGTTCAAAAGTCCGTAACGCCCGTTTAACATAATAAACATTCCAACCCAGGTCAGTTCATTAAGCCAATCAGAAAAAGGAACCGAGCAAATTGCATCAAGTCACTGACTAAAGGGATAAACCACCAACCCTGCTCAATGGTCAGCTTTCCTCGCGGGGTCACACACACATTAGGACAGTGGGAGGATTAGACACAGCAGGAAGATTTCAAAGCTCCTCGTGAGCACCTTAACGTTTAGCTTCCACAACAAGATCAGATCCAGAAAGGGTCCGGCTCCAGTGCTGGTCGTTTTAGTTTGAAGTCATCGAGAGCGAGTGAAACAGAAACTAAACTTAAACTGTTGGATGAAAATGCAGAACTTCCTTCCTCCTGCAGGTTAAAACCTACCCCTGAGCTTCACAGACTTACACATCCTGGTCATGGTTGTTTTGGGGCTTTGCTGATTGGTCTGACGATGAATTGATTAAATATAGTAAACAATGGTTTGAACTTTGAGAAGGCCATCCCATAATATTATTGTAAGCCTGCTTTAATATTGGTTTGGGTTCCTGTTGGAACACCAGCTAGTTTCATTCCGGCTTGCTTTAGCAGGAAAGGCTCAGATGCTTTAAAGAGGGCTGCATTCCATTTACAGGGAAGTTACACAACACCCTGCAGAAATGGAACACAGCCCTTGTTGGTACAAATGTTTCTTCCCAACATTTTAACGTCTACTGAAGGCTGATGGAGCTTTCAGGTGCAACATCCCCGTCACCATAATGCTGCCACCACCATGCTCCAGAGTTGCCTTGGTGTTCTTAGGTTTAGAAACCTCACATTGACTTCTTCACACAATTATCTTGTCATTATGCTCATAAATCCCAATATTTTATCTCATCGGACCTGCAGACTTGTCTCCAGAAGACATTTGCCTCATCCTCTTCAGCGGCCAAAGACTCCTGCCGAGTTGAAAGGAGTCTGCTGACCCAGGTGGCTTCACTGAACCAACCCGAATCTACCAGGGGTATGGCGCAATATGGAGGCCAAAACTAAGACTACTGCCCAGCAGCAGGAGGCTATATAATTCCGAAGCTAACTACTGATCTGATTAATCATAAGCTGGCGCCGGTAACTGAGAAATAGCACCTTTACCGGCGTTACTACTAGATACGCTAGGGACTAGCAGCCCTCTGCTGGTCATTGACTGGTTCACACACTCCCTCTGCTGTCTATTAGCATGGATAGGCTAGCGTTAGCCTGGACGGGCTGGTGTTGGCATTGGAGAGGCTAGCCATTAGCGTGCCTAGGCCGGCCACTAGCTGACTAGTGACTCTCTGAGACACGCTAATGGCTAGCCTCTCCGATGCTAATGCCAGCCTATCCATGTTAATGGTCCGTTAAGGGGGTAGGAAATCCAGCTAGTGGCCAGCCTAGGCACGCTAATGGCTAGCCTCTCCAATGCTAACACCAGCCCGTCCAGGCTAACGCTAGCCTATCCATGCTAGGCAGCAGAGGGAGTGCGTGAACCAGTCAATGACCAGCCGAGGGCTGCTAGTCCCTAGCGTATCTAGTAGTAACACCGGTAAAGGTGCTATTTCTCAGTAAGCAGCGCCAGCCTCTCAGTTACCGGCGCCAGCTTATCATTAATCAGGTCGGTAGTTAGCTTCAGAATTTATATAGCCTCCTGCTGCTGGGCAGTAGTCTTAATTTTGGCCCCCATACCGCGCCATACCAGGTGTAGCCAGTCATGACCACTAAAGTCACCTCCATCGTTAAAGATCCCGACATTAATGCTGTTGATGAGTGCTTGTAAACCTCAGACCAAAAGCTTTGCTACCTGCCTTATTTAGGTATGGTTTAGTTCATGTCCGTGCCTCGGTCCAGTCGGCAACATAAAGATGTAGCTGCTGTCAAACGGAGGCATTTCCCTGAAAACCTGGCGTAAAGCAATGAGAGAGCAGGCTCGCTCGGTCTAATTCATCCGGTCTTGGTTTGGTATGTGCAGCGGTGTGCAGACGTGAGTGTTTGTCACCCAGCTAACGCTCATCCAGCGCCGGCTGCTGAAGATGCAAGTGAGGAGGTGTGTCTGCGTGTTGTTGGTGTTTCCTGTGGAGTGTGTTTGTGAGAACAGTGAAACATTAATGAGACTTTGACAGAAAATCGCTTTCTCTGAGGGAATAAAAGCCAGTTTGGCTTCTTGATGCTGGCTCGGTTTGAACAGAAACGGAGCTCTCAGTAAGTCCGACTAGATGGAATTCTTTTAGAACTATTTTAATTAAATTTTTTGATCAAAAAGTTGGCAAAATGTGTCAAATATTCTGGTTATTAATACACAACGCCACCTTGATTTTTAATATCTGTTTTTTTATTTGGTGGGCCCAATAATATTAATATATATATATATATATATATATATATATATATATATATATATATATATATATATATATATATATATATTACATACATACACACACATATATATATATATGTACATATATATATATGTATGTATGTATATATATATATATGTATATATATATATATATATATATGTATGTACATATATATATGTGTGTGTGTGTGTATGTATATATATATGTACATATATATGTACATATACATATATATATATATATATATATATATATATGTATGTAGAGATATATAGATATATATACTGTGTGTGTGTGTGTGTGATATAGAGCCCATCCTACATGGAACAAAACAAAATTTAAAGTGTAAGTCACCCCCCAAATCAACCTTTTTTGCTTCTAAAATGAGTATCCGATCGTGCTGTAGACATAAACAGTTAATAATTTTGCACTTTAGTGCATCTAAGTTTAAATTTAAAGGATCTGCCCAATTATAAACATTTTTAAGGAAGTCATTTGACTGGGTGGGCCCTGGCCCACCTACTGCCACATCCCTGGGTGAAGTTTGACTTTATGAAACCATCCTGATCCAAAAATCATGAACTTGGACATTTTTTGCCTTTTTATTGGTGTGTGATGATGTTTAGTAACATTTCATGAGCAGAAACTCACAAATCAATCCTAATGTTTTTGTTTGATGTCTTAAAGAAAGTCTTGCCTGCTTCCTGTTGCCTTTTCTTCTCAAATTCTTGTTTACATCCAAACATATGGTTTAAATGTTTACAAATTAGTCAAATTATTTAAAACATTGATTTTGAGTGGTGCTTGTTTAGGTTTTGTAAATGTGGATTATTTATTTTTGCATGTTTCTTGTTGAGTTGCGACGTTTTCTGTCTGACGGCTGGACTGGATTCATGGATCTGTGTGAACAACCCACACGTTTCTCAGACTTCTTGCCTTGCGTCGCTTCTTTTTCAGGTAAATTCAGTTCTGCCTCTCCACTCACTGAAACTTCTCAATCTGTCTCAGTTGCTTCTTCATCACAATTTCTGCTTGAAGACTCCATGTTGCGTCGTGTTTCGGTGTTGTTTGTGCAGAAACATTCTCATCGAACTGTAAATAAAAGGTAGGAAAAAAAAAAGTTACCTTGACTTGCAAGAAGATTCTCAGAGGATTTAGGAGTGAAAATGTGGATGAATGTATCTCAGCCAGAGATAAAAGGTTGTACGACGATGGATGAAATATAATATTTCATTAAATGTAGCTGTGGTACTTCCCCTGGTGTGCCTCGGTTATTAAACGTGCGTGTTTGCAGAAAAGGAAGACTTAAGAGGTGTGTGCACTCAGTCATGTGTCCCGTAATCCCGTCCCTGTGTGCTTGCTACCAGATGACAATGCAGCGGGATTAGCTCTTTGCCCTTTTCTTTGTGTCGCAGCTCCAGAGAAGACTAAATAGAATAGGCGGGTTGTGGAAGCCCAGCAGTGGAGACGAGGTGCGGGTTCGGGGGGGAAAGGAAGAAGGATGATACTCGACGGTTTGGGATTGTAGCTCTGCAAGCTTTGTGCAAATTGTTTATTTTTAAATATCCTGTGAGATTCCCTCCATAGCAGACAAGAGTGTGTGTGTGTGTGTGTGTGTGTGTGTGTGTGTGTGTGTGTGTGTGTGTGTGTGTGTGTGTGTGTGTGTGTGTGTGTGTGTGTGTGTGTGTGTGTGTGTGTGTGTGTGTGTGTGTGTGTGTGTGTGTGTGTGTGTGTGTGTGTGTGTGTGTGTGTGTGTGTGTGTGTGTGTGTGTGTGTGTGTGTGTGTGTGTGTGTGTGTGTGTGTGTGTGTGTGTGTGTGTGTGTGTGTGTGTGTGTGTGTGTGTGTGTGTGTGTGTGTGTGTGTGTGTGTGTGTGTGTGTGTGTGTGTGTGTGTGTGTGTGTGTGTGTGTGTGTGTGTGTGTGTGTGTGTGTGTGTGTGTGTGATATGAATAATGCAGAAGATGCCTGTAGGAGCGTGAAGGCCTGCAGCAGGGCAGATGGTCGTCCTCTGATAAGCCTGAACTCAAGCAGCAGGGTCCTCCAGAGAGCCGGGTTTGGACCCACAGTTACACACACACACACACACACACACACACATGCTCATCTGGACCTCTTTTTCTTTTCAAATTTCTCCTTTTTTCATGGTTAACAGGCCTCTTGACTGAGTCAAATATCAAAATAAAAGCCTCAATGTTTATTGTTAAAATGCATAAAAACCACGCCTGGAATATTTAGAGATGAAAAAATTGTTTAAAAGGATTTGATGATATGATTATTATATTTAATTATTCTTGAATTTTAGATTTTAAATACAATAATAATAATATAGCTGAAAATTGTACTCATGTAAAACCGTTGATATGAAAATAATTATAAATCAGAAGCATCAGTCCGTGGCGCATTAGAATGAATAAAACCTGGATCTGATTATGCCTGAAATAAGTTTCCTTTAAACCTTTTAGGCAATTGGTCGTTTTTGTTCCTCTGATTTAGATTTTTAGTGGAAAAACGGATCCATTTCAACACAAAAAATGTGGTAATTTTGTCAGAGAAGAAGAAAAAACACATTTTTATATCATAAAGAAAAATGAGTATCCTTTGGGTTTTTTTAAAGACAATTTCAAAATGCAAAATACCTCTTATCAAGTTTAAATAAGAAAAACAGTCATGTTAAAGATGTGTTATGTGTCATCTTGCCGCTGATTATAATAAAAGCAGCAGAACAAAAAGTTAACTGGACCAGGAAGTAGGAAAAAAGCTCACGCAATGTAAAAGTTCAGTTGCTTTTTAGTGTTGATTGAGCTGTTCATGACATGTTTAATCTCCTTTTTTTAAATCCTGTCTTTACAGATAAAAAGGTACTTAAAATAACGTTAAAAGGTTGTTTCTTTTCATAAAGGATCATTTCTCTTTTCACGAGTAATTGTGCATTAGGACTTTTTCTTTTAAATACATTACCCACAACCCTATTCAAATAATTAGGGAAACAAAATAACACAATAACAAAACGATTTTAAATAGTTTAAAGTGATGCAGCTCAATATAAAATTAGCTGAGCAGATTGTAAGAGTAAATAATAATAATAATAAGGAAAGATGTTTGCAATTAAACATTTTTTGATAAAATAATAACGTATGCAGACCTACAGATGAGAATTCCCTGCAAGTTGCCTTCAAAACTTTCTGCACATTTGTGATATTTTCTTTAAATCATGGCGAGATTAAAATGTATTATTGATCACCTTTTGCATCAGGAAATCCTAGAATCGTTAGTAAAGTCGTCACGTTGAAATAAAAGTAAGTGGGGTCCAAAAATGCGGGACTGCGTCTTCGTGCAAAATCGTTTTAGCTTTTAGAATTAAATGAACTTGCACGGTTTGAGGTTTTAAAAGAAGGTGAGTGTACAGAATGAAGGCAAAATCAATGCTGCGTTCGGGCGCTAGGTGGCAGCAGCGCGCCGCTTCAGAGTTGTTTTTAATCCGCCCAGCAGGCTTTGTGGCTAATTGCGCTGTCCGACATGACATGAATATTAAAACAGAAGGAAAAATAAATAAATAAAACAATAATCCCGGGTGTGTGTTCAAGATTACTGTTTTTTTTTTTGTATGTGGATTAAACAGATGTCTGAAAACCAGAGAAGAAGAGCTAGACGTTCAAATGTTACCCAGTCACAGTTTAGGCTAAAACGTGAGCTAAAACGTGAGCTAAAGCTAAAAACGCCACCTTTCTGTCAGCCCTTCATATGTCATTGTTGCTGACTCACTCGTAATTTGTGTTTTTTTAAACAATGTTATTATGAATTTACATTAAAACTGTCTTGAAAGTTAGCACTTATTTTAATTGTAGCTAAAGGCAGCGCTCACCAAATAACTGTATGTTAGCTACATCTTCTTCTATGGTGCAAGGTTCTCTCCATGTGCTTAAAATAAATACATTTCTACATTAAATTTCACCTGCTTGGCAAATAATTCACTTTTTCTGATTAAATTATAAAAAATATGTATATCAGTTTTAGTTTGAAAGTTTATAAAAAATAGAAAAAAATATATAAAATAATGCATTCCAACATTAAAATGCAACAGGACAGCAGTGTTGTAAAAAAAACAAATACATTAATTATGTATCACATTAATTAATGACAAAAAGCATTTAGAAATTGTGCAACTGTTGATTTCATTTCCCTCTTCGTTTGATCACAGATTTCAGGTCGATAATATTTTTGTTTTGGTTTCATCTTTCCTTTTTTTTAAACCGCAAAAACTCAAATTTAGCTGAAAAATCACAGTTTAAGAATTTCTGGGCATCTTGTAAATTAAAGTGCAATTGTTAAATAACAATTACCCTAATAAATAACGAAAGATGGCCCTGTGTGTATTGCAGATAATCACATATTGCTGTTATTATTATTCTGTTGGCGAGAAAAGGCTGGCTGGAAAGGTCTCCTGGAAAATAAAGAATACAATTTATTATTTTTCTCTCTCTCTCTAATCATTTAAACATTTTCAGCTGAATTTGGATTTTTGACTTTCATCTTAGATTTTTATACTGTTGTCAACTCCCGACTCCTCACATCTCAGTTTGATCACAGGATTTAAAGGTGGCACAAGAGCACATGTTCGTGTTTGTGCTTTGGCACAGACTGACAGAAAAACAAACAAACAAACAAACAAAGCGCACGGTTATTAAAACAAAACAAAACCTTACAGTTTCAAATGTTATAAAACGAAGATTCATCCCGTGATCTCAGTGAGCCGCAGCCAATGAGGCCAGAGCTGGAACCGGATACAGTCCGTTAGATTGTTTATTTATTTATTTTTGTCTTATTTGTTCTTTTCATAGGAAAGCAAGGCAAAATGGAACGAGTGGTTCTGAGAGACCCCCCCGGACAGTCTCGGTCGTTTTGTTGTCACAGCGTTTTAGAGAAGAAAAAAAAAAGAATGAAAATTCACCGTGCGCAGCAATATCTGCACGGAAAGAAACCTACAAAACACACACACACACACACATTCTAGTCACATTATTATTATTATTATTATTATTATTATTATTATTATTATCTAAGTTTAGAGGATGAAAGATAGTAAATAGGAAATAAAATTAATTTAGAAATCATCCTAATTTAAAAAATACAAATAATTTCATATGTGATAATAATAATAATAATAATAATAATAATAATAATAATAATAATAATAACAGAGCTGGTATTGGTTGAGATTTCACATGGGGGGAGGGGGGGGCTGCAGCAGGTGTTTGCTATTTCAGCCCCCTTTAGCCACAAGCTGCGGAGACCCCATAACACACACACACACACACACACACGCGCACACACACACACGCACACACGCGCGCGCACACACACACGCCGTCGCTTTTGTTATGATGGAAAGATGGCGTTTATTTACCCACACTGAGCCGATCAGCCTGCTTGAAGCTTGTCTTAATGCCTGTCCCCCCCAACACACACACACACACACACACACACACACACACACACACACACACACACACACACACACACACACACACACACACACACACACACACACACACACACACACACACACACACACACACACACACACACACACACACACACACACACACACACACACACACACACACACACACACACACACACACACGCACGCACGCACACGCACGCACACACACACAGACCACACTCTGCTCTGCTTTAATGACATAATGACGCACTGGCGTCTCCATCAAAAGATGAGGGAAAGCGCATCAGTGTCGCCATTATTATTATTTTCCTTTTTCTTTTGTTTTTGTTTTGGTCAGCGCACCGATCACCCCCCCCCCCCCCCCCCCCCCCCCACACACACACATCTGTTCAGAGTGTTTTGGCGCTCAGGTGCCACTCTGTGTCCCCCCACCTCCTTCCTGTCCCTTCTGCATCCGTCCATCATCTTAAACCTGGCCCAGGTCCAGTTCTGAAGCGGCGCCCAGCGCAGAGAATTAAACAAATCAGGAGGAATTTCATCCTCGATGCGTTTGGTTTTCTCCCTCAGAGGTCACTGCACAGGAGTCTGTCCTCCGTGGTGAGGTGGGGTGTCCCCATACATGTCCTCCCCTCCTGGTATCTGTCCCCCAACGGGTGTCATCCTCTTCTCCTTCTGCCGCCGGTTACAGAACCAAACCCTCACCACCTCCTTCTCCAGCTGCAGGCTGTCCGCCAGCGAGTTGATCTCCGCCGCTCCTGGTTTGGGACATTTAAGAAAATGGCTCTCCAGAGCGCCCTTCACGCCCACCTCGATGGAGGTCCTCTTTTTCCGCTTCCTGCCCTGCGCCGCGATTTTATCCAGGCTGGTGGGACTCCCGGACGTGGAGTCCGCCTCCTCCAGCCACTTGTTCAGCAGCGGCTTGAGTTTGCACATGTTTTTGAAGCTGAGCTGAAGCGCCTCGAACCTGCAGATGGTGGTCTGAGAAAACACGTTCCCGTAGAGGGTCCCAAGAGCCAGACCCACGTCCGCCTGGGTGAAGCCCAGCTTGATCCGCCGCTGCTTGAACTGCTTCGCAAACTGCTCCAACTCATCGGAGGTCGGCGTGTCCTCGTCCGACTGGTCCTGGTGTCCCCCGTGCTGCTGCTGGTGTGAGATGGACTGCTGGTGGGCCCCGGGGCCGCTCCCGTGCTCACTGAGGTGCGGACTGTGGCTGTGGTGGTCCTCGTCTCTCAGGGAGTGGTGGTGCATCCCTCCCCCTTGCTCTCCCCCCGGCATCAGACCGAAGCCGGACTGAGAGTAGACTAGACTCTGGCCCTCAGACGTCGCCATGCCGGAGATGTGAGTCGTGGCGGTGCTGGTTCGCCATGCTCTGGCGTCGTGATGCGCCTGCTGGTGCGCTAGGTGAGGGTGTCGCTGTTGCTGCTGCTGCTGCAGACTGCTGGAGTTCTGCAGCTCCTCTCGGTCACTGTCATGCAGTATGGGCTTCACGTCCTGCTCTCCGAGGGGACTGGATGGCCACGGCGCCCCGCTGTCCCCGTGAGAGAGCGCCGTTATCCACTGGTGCGCGTGGCTGAGCGGATGCCCACCGCCCGGTAACGTGCCGTAGTCGTTCTGGAGCAGGGTGTGCGCGTCCCTGTACGCTGCCGCCTGCTGCATGCTCCCGGACTCCGCGAGCGGCGGCGCGCTGCTGGGGGTGCTGAGGACGCTGTAGTGGTTGGACGTTGCGGTCGCCATAACTACAGGAGCCAGAGTGGTCGCCGGAGTTAAACGGAGGCTGCCTTTGACAGGAACTCTTTTGCGCCACGGGGCAGCGAGGCGTCTCTCTCCAGCATCTCCCGGGCGCTGTGCCAAGGGGACGCAGAGGCGCGCACCTGTGGTCCGCCTCGCTCCGCTCTTTATTGGCCGAGAACGACTGACAGATGTGGTTACCCCTGACAGCACCCCGCTCATTGGTCACGGGAGAGCGTAGTGAAAACCCCACTTGCTCTGCCCGACAATGCGAGCAGTCCTGCAGCACTGGTGAGCAAAGTGAAGGGAAGAACACAGAAAATCCTTGTGCGCTGAAGAAAACACCAAACATCAGCTGGAAGTAGTTCACTCCCTCTGATCTGGGTCACTGGGTCACGTTTAGTGCGCGTAAGGAGTCTGCGTAAAAGTTTTTAGAGCTTTTACAATCCGCCAGTTTGAGTGCTGAAAGAAAAACTTTGAGCTGCAAATTTCATAAAGTTTCCAGCATTTTTTTAATTTTATTTTTCTTTTTCAAACTGCGCACTTTGGGGGATTTCGCACCATAAACTCTGAACTTCCAGCTGCCTCTCTGCCCTCAGGACGCTGTCCAGAGTGTGTGTGTGTGTGTGCGTGAGGGAAAGAGAGAGAGAGAGAGGAGTGCGTGCTTCCAGCGTCTGCCCCGTTACCATGGCAAGCGCGCTGAATGGAACAACAACGCCCACGTCACAGCTGCAATTCGCTCTTTTCCAAAGGGCTCATTGGGGCCGCGCGCTCGGCCGTCGGGACAAATAAAGAGGGGGGTGGGTGGGGTTGTCGGGGGAGCGGAGAGGGCAGCTCCTGGCCAAACACAGAGGAGGCTGCAAGAATGGACCCCTCAGTCCGCTGTGCCCCCTTCCACCTGCTTGTTGGGTAAACTCTGAGAATGATGCGCCCTCAAGCGGGGTTTGTTCCTCCAAAACCAAAATGTATCTGTCTTTTATCAAATCAGTCATGACCCACATTTTTAGTCAATTAAAATGACGCAAAAAATAAGTTTAGAATATTTCCCAGTGCATACACACTCACCTAAAGGATTAGGAACACCATACTAATACGGCGTTTGACCCCCTTTCACCTTCAGAACTGCCTTCATTCTGCATGGCAGTGACTCAACAAGGTGCTGAAAGCTTTCTTTAGAAATGTTGGCCCATATTGATAGGATAGCGTCTTGCAGTTGATGGAGATGCACATGCAGGGCACGAAGCTCCCGTTCCACCACATCCCAAGATGCTCCATTGGGTTGGGATCTGGTGGGGGGTGTTGTAGTACAGTGAACTCATCGTCATGTTCAAGAAACCCATATGAAATGATTCGAGCTTTATGGGATGGTGCATTATCCTTCTGGAAGTAGCCATCAAAGGATGGTGGTCATGAAGGGATGGACATGGTCAGAAACGATGCTCAGGTAGCTCGTGGCATTTAAACGATGCCTATTGGGCCATTCCCATGGGTACCGGGTCGGCCCCAGCCTGGCCCGGTTGATTCCACACATCCTTGTCTCAAGCCCATGTGGGCTGATTCTACCCACCAATCAGAGGCTTGCTCTAATGGAAGGTGTGAATTTGCTGTCAGCAGTGGGTGTGTTGGCCCTGGTCGGCCTGAAGCAGACCCCCTCGAGAAGAGGGCTGAGAATGAGCCTTGGTTGGCCCGGAAAAATACCAGGCCACCCAGATATGTAAACAACCTACGCTACCCGGCCCGGGCCGACTCGGTACAGATGGGAATGGCCCACAATTGGCACTAAGGGGCCTAAAGTGTACCAAGAAAGCATCCCCCACACCATGACACCACCTCCACCACTAGCCTGCACAGTGGTAACAAGGCATGATGGATCCATGTTCTCATTCTGTTTACGCCAAATTATGACTCGACCATCTGAATGTCTCAACAGAAATGGAGACTCATCAGACCAGGCAACATTTTTCCAGTCTTCAACTGTCCAGTTTTGGTGAGCTCGTGCAAATTGTAGCCTCTTGTTCCTGTTTGTGGTGGAGGTGAGTGGTACCCGGTGGGGTCTTCTGCTGTTGTAGCCCATCCGCCTCAAGGCTGTGCCTGTTGTGGCTTCACAAACGCTTTGCTACATTCCTCGGTTGTAACGAGAGGTTATTTCAGTCAAAGTTGCTCTTCTATCAGCTTGAATCAGTCGGCCCATTCTCCTCTGACCTCTAGCATCAACAAGACATTTTCTCCCACAGGACTGCCGCACATTGGATGTTTTCCCTTTTCCCACCATTCTTTGTAAACTCTAGAAATGGTTGTGGGTGAAAATCCCAGTAGCTGAGCAGACTGTGAAACCTTGATCAATCAGTGTAATGAAAAGTCCAATAAATACACCTGAAAACAATCCTCACCTTTAGTTTACCTCCACATTATTAGAGTAATACATTTTAATGTTTTGATGGTATGATGTCCTGTCATGTTAACAAATATTACTACACGCTATGCAGACTTGTTTATTTTATATTGAGAGGCACAATTTCAAACTGTCATTGCTCCTTTAGGTATTTTCCAAAAAATTACTGTTATAGAAACAATTATAAATGTGGAGTTTTGTTGACCCAAAAGGTGAAATGTTCATTTAACACATTTCTTTACAGTTTCACGTAGCTGTAGCTAACATTTCCTTTACACACGTAGAACATTATAGCATCAGAACAAAATTCATGCATTTTAGTTGACTAAAATAAGACAAACTAAAACAAATTAAATGACACAATTTTGACATAAATTAAAAATAAATTTTGTCAAAATACTAAAACTAAATAAAAGATTCTTGTCAAAATTAGCACTGCTCCAGCAACAGCTCTCTTTTTCACCTGAGAAGTGGTTCTAGTCTAACTTCCCTGTTTGTGACATCACAATCAGGGACATGATTCCTACAGAAAATAAATGGATGTGTTTTTTCATGCTTGAGCTTGGTTTATGCTTGACGCGTTTACTTTCCGCGCGGTGATGCGGCTCGCGGATGGAACGCGCTTCACACCTCGCAGTGTTTATGGTTCATGCGGCTTGTCTCTGCGGTGAGCCAATATTCTCCCAAACTGTAGGGGGCAGCATGGAGCTCTACGGCATGCATCCAACACTACACCATAGTAGAAGTAGAAATTACTGTTTACAACACGGCATTCCAGCATTTTTTAACAGCGTCCTCGTCTTTTCCGACAGTGCGACAGTGCTGTGTCCAGATCTTTTAAAATGGGGTGGCCCAGGTGAGGCACAGCTTTGTGCATGGGTGGCACCAATGGTCATGCTTTTTTTGCTTTACCCCCGAGCCTTTTGTGGACAATGAAAAGCCTATTCAAAGGTAAATTAGTGTGTTGGCACCTGGGGTGGCCAATCAGACTCCAAGGGTGGCATGTGCTACCCCAGGCCACTCCCTGGACACGCCCCTGCAGTGCGAGCCATTTCTCTCCAAGAATTATTAACAACATGTTGATCACAGTGATCTCTGAGAGCTGAATCATACAAATGTCTGTATTTACGAACCTCTGCCGTACTAGTTCTTGCCGGTCCGCCATGTTTTCCGTGTCCGACTGTCCGCGTGGTTAGGAAATTTCGTAGGTGCGCGGTGTGGAAAGTTTGGTCCATGCAGAGGCGGGGCATGGTTGTTTAAATGACGCAATTTTGCCGCGCGAACCTCGCGGACGCGTCAAGCATAAACCAAGAGTGTTTGTAGAGGCCCACATGGCAGGTGAGGCAGGGAGTTGATGATCCAGACAAGTTGGAATTCTGACATCTCTACAGCTGTCGGCAGCAGTTTGTGATTTTCCTAAAGAACGTTGAAAGAAAACTATTCTCATCTCTAACTTCTTTAAAGTGATCATAAATTTGCTAAGGACATGAGAGCCAATGAAAAAGTCACTAAAGGAGCCTTTGCATACGGCATCTTCTGACAACAAACCCATTCTTATTCTCCAGAAATCTCCTGAAACCCTTGTAGAGTCACAGGACTGGTTTCAACCAACGTCAGCCGCAGCTAGCGTTGAGAAAACTTGATGTTATCGGCTCAGCGTGGAACACGTGTTGTAAAACCACCCAACTATCAGGAGAAATCTCCAGATCAGGACGCTCCACATCATGCTGATAACATTCGGTGTTTATATTCAGACATTAGCGTTTATTCAGCTGATTAGTAGATTGCACATGTGACCAGGTCGGTCAGTAAATGCTGTGAATGATCAAGCGTCCGCCTTGATGCTAAATGATCAGGATTAAAAGAACACCGGCGTGTAATTCAGAGAATCACTAAACGTGTCACCGGGGGGCTTCTGCAGGCCGTGTGTCGAGACGGCCAAAACACATTACCCTAATAGACATGCAAACTACTGGCCGCCCAATTACACAACTTAATAATGCATAAACGATGCGAGTCCTGTTCTTACAAGTCAAAGGGATCGCCGCTAATTTAGTCAAAAAAGACCCGCCGTTGACGCCGTTTCACACGTCTGTCTGTGTTCAGCACAGGCGTAACGATGAAGACTCTGAGCGTTAAATTAACAGTAATTATATGGCGCTGGTGCCATAAAGATCTAATTTGTCTAAAGCGAGTCTCGGCGCGGCCCGCCGGTGATTAAAAGACGCAGAAATAATAAACAGGAACAACATGTCACACAACACGGCTCGAGTGAGGCCAAACCGCAGGTTCTCCACGCCAGTGTGTGACCTACTCGTGTCCCCTCCCCCTGTGGGAACCCCAACATAGGACACGGGGGAGGAAAGGGGGTGATGAGGAGAGAGGGGGCGGGGCTGGGGGGGTTCTTTACGATGCTGGACACAGAGAGATAATGGCCATTCCTCCACAGCTGGCCCTCACAATCAAAGGAAGAGGGAGCTTGGAGGATTCCAGCTTTAACCAGGCCATTGTCCGGGCTAATTACATCTGAATGCAGGACCTCCATGACCCTATACCGGCCCCCCCTTTCTCCACCGGGCCAGAACCTGCACGAAAAACCCCAAGAAACCCTTCAGAGAGGAGGCAGAGTGCACAGAAATATATAAACCCAGTTCTTATTCAGTAGTCTTTAATGTCTCACACACACACACACACACACACACACACACACACACACACACACACACACACACACACACACACACCCATCCCCAGCAGGCTCTCATCACACACGCTCACTTGTGGCACTTGGCATTAGATCAGATCTCAGCTTGCTGCTCTCAGAAGAGATGAGGAGGTCTGAGAGGACTCAGGTTGAATAGAAAACACGGTGAAGAGCCTTTCCCTGATGCGTCCCCATAATCCCAATCTACGCGCTCCCCCTGGTGCTCCCCACTGGCCTCCATCTGTGCCCCGAACAGCCCCCAACTCCAGCACAGCATCCTCCCATCGCAGTTTTCTCTAAATTCTTCAATTTATTGGCCCACTAACAAATTCTCCGTCCTATTGTCGTACACATTAGCTCTTCGCCCTTTTGGCAGCTGAATGAATCCTGTTGAGGTGTCAAAGCTGATGAGGAACTTCGATCTGGCAGATTTG